GAGAGATCTAAGGACATTCCATATTTAGTTTCATTTAAGTTAGGACAGCTGTGAATCGTGACTGTGAAAGCACACGTGCCTAGCTAGAGCAGTGTTACTCAGGATGGGAAAAAAGTAGAGACAAAGACACAACGCTCACCATCGACAGCAGAGGCCGTCATGTAAGAAGTGTGTATGTATGAACACACAGAGCGATGGGCAAGATTCGAGTCCTCTGTCTATAGTGATTGGAGCAGAAGGTTTCGTTGATTTGCCTGTGATGTGGTTGTGATAGAAGGGGGTCTGCCCTGAGCGGCTCTGCCTCGGGCCAGCCAGCAGTGTGTGGGTTCTAGACTTTGTGCAGGTGGATTTCAGAGGATGTTTATTAAGGGGGGACAGTGAGACAAGAACGGACCTAGGATGACAGGAGAGGGGCGAGGTGGGGAACAGAGCCCAGGCTGGGCTGCTGACTCACTAAGAGGTCAGAGAAAAGGGGGCCTTGGGGACAGGTGGGGGAGGGTGTGGATTGCCCAGGATGAACTGCCTCTGCCCATTGCTCCCTGGTTGCCAGCCTCCTGGGTCCCTTAGAGTTTGGGAGATGCTACCTGTGAGGGAGGAAGGGGGGAGCCACAGGGGGGATGGGAGAGGCCCTGGTATGCTCCTGGGAGGGAGAGCATGCCGGGACCTTCGTGTTGAGGGTTTTAAAGGCTGAGAGTTTAGGGGAGGATCTCAACAGAATATTCATGTTGATGCTTATATGCCCAAATGAGATTTATTCCCGTAAATTCATCTGTCCTTGGGTGTGGTTGGCAAATGGCTCTAATTGGATTTCTGCTATCTGCCTCCCTCAGTAGGATCATTTAAGCTATTTACCCTCTGGTTTGGGAGAAGATTGGCAAACCATTTATTTTCTCTTAAGTGTCCCCGGTTTAGGGAAGGCAGGATTTACTAGATGGCTGCAAACTTCCTAACTGACTGTCGGTTCCCCAATTCATGTGCCAGTGAACTTTCCCAGCTTCTTATCCAGCCTGAAGGTTACTTAACCTCCCCATGTATAACCCAGGGCAGGAGTTTTCCATTAAGTAAATTTGAAAAATTTAACATTTTCTGCTTGAAAACGTTTTAAAGCCATCATCAATGGGCTTCAGCAAAATATCTTGTATTGGCCTCACTGCAAGTACTCAGTGATAAGTGTTAAAAATAGAACAAAGTCATAGGAAACCAACTTAGATGACCTTATTTATTGTATACTTATTCGTTGTCTGTTTCTCCCACTTAATTCATGGCTATGATCCCAACATCTACAAGATTGCCCAGCAACAAACACATATTTATACACAAACAACTGCTTACAACAAGGTATTATTAAAGAGGAGGAAGATAGGAGTTGATCCAAGTGGGGATGCTTTAGTCAAAGAGAAATATTCGTGAATGCGGAGATGCTATAATCAGATAGAGCTGAAATCCAGCTGCTCTGCGGAGTGACCTTTTCAAGTGAAAATGAGATCCCAGTTGAAGAGGGAATGAAAGGGGCCGGAGAGACTGATAGAATAATAGGGAACTGATGGTCGCGGGGTGCTAGCCAGTTATAAGAAATGGTAAACGTCCTTGCTGTGTTCATCTTGGTTGCTTTGTTCTGATGAAAGAAAGCCCATTCTGCCCTGGCTGGGAGCTCCGGAAAGCTGCCCATTCTCCTTATCTGAGAACAAGACAAAACTGCTCAACGTCTGGGGAAGACTAACAACCCTGAAGCCCCGGAGGCGGTGCACTGAGAACCCTTCCTAGCCCCCCAGCCACACTCCCCAGGGAATTACTTCCCCGCCCCTGTGACCTGTAACCAGTCATCCGTTGTCGTTCCTTGTTGCCTGCCTGCCCTTCCCTGTGTAGCTGCCCGACAGAAGCTATTGAGGGGGCGCAGAGCAGACTTTGCAGGGTGGCCCTCTGCTCCCCATACTGCTGGCAATATTGGAATAAAAGCTCATATCTGATTCAATGTGGTCTCTGCTTAATTGGTTCAAGTAGTGACAGGCGGCCCAGACCCGTTCGTTGTCCAGTTTCAGCATCAAAACCCTTTGGGATTTGGGAATGCCATGCCCCGATTGGTGACCTTTGGTAGACCCCCTGAGAAGCTAGCCGCTGAACGGAGCATTGCGTCCGAAAGCCTGGCCCCAGCGGTCACGGTAACGTTTTGGCCAAGGACGCACAGCGTTCTCCATCATGAGACGGGCTCAGGATGCTGGCTCTGCCCTCTGCAGCACTGCGGTGATAATCCAGAACAATTAAAATGTGCACAGCTTTATCCTTCAGGGCCTGTCACAAGCAAACTGTCATGACCACGCTGAGAACCAGAACGTCCTTTTTGCAGATGTGGAGATGGGCCACGTGGATCTCCCTTGAGAGAAGAACACCGTGGCCAAGTTCTCTGACAGCCCCCAGCTACAGAGTCTTCTGGACGGCCCGTGGCATCGGTAGGGCATGTTGTCCCTGGACTTCCCCTGGCAATGAGTTAGCGCGGGTGGTGTACTGAAACCTGGCCACTCTGGCCCAGAATGGGACTCGCTCCTCTGTGGACAGTCTTGGCTCTGGTCTTACAGCTGCTGAGCTCGCCCAGCGCTGCGTCTCAGTCTCCTGGGCTTCCGCTCACCCCCTCCGTCCCTTCCCTCCCACCAGTGCCAGACCCGTGTCACAGCTGAAGGCTCCCCTGCCTTCTCCTGCACCTCTCCCCTTTATTCTTCTCGGGCACCTGCTTCCATACACCTCTGCGCTCCGAGCTCCTGGCCCAGCGTCTGAGGCCCAGGAGACCCCACCAACACGGTCCCTCCAGTCCCAGTCATCTGAGCGACCCCCGTCAGTATCTTGAGTTTTCTGTTTCTCTTTGGAGATTTTCACTAGTGTACGTATTGTGGGCATTTTATTTTAAGATGGTCGATTTCTACTTCTTTTTCCTCATAGTGTCAGCTCATGCATTTATAAATAAAAGGTGATCAAACTTTTGAAAAAACCTTAAGCCGCATGAAATTCCTAGCCACTACCTGATGTTCATCTATTTGAACAAGAAGGATACTTGAAGAGACTCAGAAATATTTCTTTTTCTTTCTTTCTTTCTTTCTTTCTTTCTTTCTTTCTTTCTTTCTTTCTTTCTTTCTTTCTTTCTTTCTTTCTTTTTTTTTTTTTTTTGTTAATCCTCACCCAAGGGTATTTTTTCCATTTATTTATTTATTGAGAGAGAGTGTGGAGGGGAAGGAGGGAGGGTGGGGTGAGAGAGAGAGAGAGAGATGGGTTGTCTCCTGCATGTGCCCTGACCAGGGCCAGGGATAAAACCTACAACCCAGGTACATGCCCTTAACCAGGAATCGAACCCACAACCCTTCGGGGTGTGTGTTTGCGCGTGTGCGCGTGCCAGTGCTCTAACCATTGAGCAACCCTGGCCAGGGCAGTAACCTGTGTTGAGAACACAGCATGGAATGGTATAGCCCCAGTGAATAAGTGAATCCGAGTCCTCAGTAAAATCTCCCAGTAGCTTTTCAGAGCGAGGAGCAGATGCTTCCCGCTCGTGAGCCCGTGGTCTCCGCAGAGTGGCTTCCACACTGGCCTGGGTTTGCTGCCTTCAGTTCGGATCAGCCTGCTCCTTAGTAGCCCAGCTCCAATGTCAACACTCTTGTCTCTCGGGTCACATGTTGTCCTGTGCAGGCATACTCGCAGACAGGCTCGGTGGGTATCCAGGCTTCCTACGACACAAGGAGCCCCGTCATCAGACGCCCCCGATCGAACCTAGGGGCATTTCCTCACGTGGGCCCTGTGAGAGCAGAGAGCCCGTGCACCTGTTCCGAGGGTTGGGAAATGCTGAGAGCTCCCAGCGTGCGTCGTCTGCTGTTCTGGATAATCCTGGGCATTGTGGGCATCGTTTTCCTTAGTATCTCTTGCCTTCGAATCCTATGTTGGTTTTACTTCTGCACTGAAGCTACAATTACATAAATACTCTATAAATTTCACATGCAGGCTTTGGTAACATTTGAAGTCATGCACTATTAATTTCAACCAGAACTCTCTTTTCTTTTTTTTCACGTCACTACAAGAGTTTATTTATTTATACATTTTAAGGTAGGTAACTCTGTATTTTCAAATAGTTTTTCTCTTCTCTGCCTGTAAAATTTCACCAGGCAGGACATGCACTTGGGAAGATGGGCTTGAATAAAAATGTGGGCGCTCTTCTCACATCGAGCCTGTGTCCTTATCTGTGTGGTGAAAGAATAATAAAACGACGGCCCCCAGCCTCGAGCAGGACGTGTGCCATGTTCCCGCCACCTCACGCCATCCTGAGTCTGCCCTTCCTCTGATGGAAGGCCACAGCTGGGGTTTCTAAAAGAGTTATACTTTCACTCAGACTGCGAATCTGCTCATTCCATTTGTCTGACGGCGACTAAGCAGAGGACACCGGTGACTGGCCGTCTCACACCACACTGAGCGCATGTCTGCTCCCGTCTTCCAAGTGCTTTTCCCAAGTGCTCGTTTTCCTACCGTGCTTCTCTGGGACTGAATTTCCAGGATTGCCAGTAAAACAGAGCTCATCTAACGAACAGCTTTAGCATAAGGAACCACGAAAACGTTACACATTCACAAGTCCAAACGTTTCTGAAGTAAGGAAGGGCCGAACCAGGCCCTCGAAAGAGCAGAGGTTTGGGGATCTCCCCGGGCTTGCCACGTGCTAACTGCGAACTCTGGAGCCGTCGTTTCTTGTGACGTCTGTTGCTCGTCTCTGACATGGGCATGGTGACCAGCCTTGTAGTTTGTGCTTTAGAAGAGATTTTTTATTTTTTTTTAAAGCTAGGTTTGATTTTTGCATCTTACGCATATTTCTTATTTAGTCTAAGCTTCTGAAACCATGACTGAGTGTCCAATGTCCATTATAAAATGCTTTTCTTTCCTACGAAGTCAAAGACGTCATCCCTTGACGCCACTAAGGAGGTCAGTGAGAAGTAAGAGGCATTGGATCCGGGGACCGAAGATAAACACAGGTCGGGCTACGGGGAGAAGAGTCTGTGAAGAGGGAGAGGCTGAGCCAGGTAACACTGTTTCTTGTGAGTCCCTGTTTTATCTTTCCCATCAACCAGCACAATCGGAAAATACTTGTAGTGTTCGATGATGTCTTCCACCGAATTGAACTTCTGAAACAGACAAGAACACGAATGCAAAGTTACATATTTTTTGTGCCTGTAGGTTCAAGTACAGATTGTTAAGTTTTACTTGGAAAAGAGAACTCATTAAAATTTGGGGGGGGTGGTGTAAAGGTGTGTCAGAAAGTCATTTTATTAATTTTTTTATTTTATCCTCACTCGAGGACATTTTTCCATTTTTTGTTCAGATAGAGTGGGAGGAAGAGAGAGAAACATCAACGTGAAAGGGACACATCGAGTGGCTGCCACCTGCACGACCCAACCAGGGCTGGGGACAAACTGCAACTGAGGAACGTGCCCTTAGCGGGAACCGAACCCCGGTCTCTCTGGACCGCAGGCCGACGCTCTAACCACTGAGCAACCGGCCAGGGCAGAAAGTCCTTTTTTCAAAATGGGTGTGGCAATCAGGCTCTTGAAGGATGGGAGATGGGATAGCAAGGGAGGGGGGGAGATAAGCCAGAGAACTCATATGCACATATGCACATCCAGTGGACACAGCCGTGCGGGTGGGGAAAGCTGGGGGCAGGAGGGAGCGGAGAGGAGGGCGTCAAGGGGGGAAGGAGGGCATCTGTAATTCTTTCAACAAGAAAAGACAAGGGAGAATAAAGGCATTTCGGGAGACCAAGGTGAACTGAGGCAGCTCAGCTTCCCACACCAGGCAGTCACCAGCATCAGGTCACCTGGTCAAGCTTCATTGTTATCACGTCATTCCTCCTGTGAGCAGTTCAGATAAGTTAGGTGAGTTACAGGGCAGTCCGCCTGCCCTGGGGCACGCGAGGTTCCTCCCTGGCCTTCCCCTCCCTGTGACAAACCCAAATGTAGACAATCAAGACTTGACCTTCACTTGGTAAGTTGGTGGGCAAAGCCTGCAGTGAGCTCTCTGTAAACGAACCCCTCTTGTTCTAACGAATTCTGTCATCACCACTGTGATGACCACAGGGCTGCCGACAGTTCTTAGCCAATTTAGCTTCCTTCCCTGGGCTGCTTGTGAAATAAACAGCACACCAGTTCACTTTTCTGTGTCCAGAGATGCCCAGATAACGCCCTGGAGATTCGATGGAAAGGGAGATTATTTCAAGTGCAGGGCAGTTGGGAAGGGCTTTGTGGAAGACACAGACCTGAAACGGGCTCTTCATTCTGGGTGGTTCTGGTAAGTGGACAAGGAGGGTTTAAAGACAGTAAAAGCAGAGGGAGAAGCTAGGCGGGTTGAGACCAGCAGGCGGTGCTTCCGGTGAGCTGAGGTCGGAGGCCTTGAGAGGGAACATGGGAAGATAATTAGGAAGTGCCTGCACCACCTGCCTTCTGGACTGGAAAACAGCGGGATCCCCTTGGCCATCTGGTGAGGCGAGCAGTGACCGTCCTCAAAGAGCTCAAGAGCCTGCAGCTCAGAGAAGCAGACTGACTTGCTCAGAGGTCACACAGCCTGGGGCCAGGACCAGGGAGGGAACCTGGTTTTTCTGGACACCTGTCGCCATGACGCTGGTTCCAACAGAGCAGGGCAGAGATGACAGCCTGGAGGAAGGGCGTCACAGGGGGGACCACCGGGTTCTGCCCACGCATCCCGGCACAGGCATGTTTGTAAGCCTGAGGAAGTCGGCAGGGCAGGAGAGTGTCAAGGTCCTTGTTCTCATGGAGGTGGCATCCTGGTGGGGGCAAAATAAATTCCTCTAGGACAGGTCGCTCCACTCGGGGACTGTACTGTGAAAACAACCAGCTTCGGCTCAACCTCACCAGCCACCCAGGGCCTTCCCTCGGGGGCCGTCTGTGGCTGTGGGGAAGACAGTTTGTCCCTAGGGGAGCACCAGGTTGGAATTCGGGGAAACCAGTGACTGCCAGGCTGTCTCCCTCCTGTCACCGTCAGTGGGAAAGCACGAGGAAGGACATGTGGAGAGCAGAGTGTCCTGACGGTGACCCGTTCCCAGATCCACATCATTCCTGCCCTTCCAGCTGGCTGGGCCCACAGCCTGCCCCTCCCCCTAGGCCCATTTGAGTTGGGTTTTGCCTGTTTGCACGAGGGCCGTGGTTCTCAGCCTTCCTGATGCCGCCACCCTTTCATACAGCTCCTCACACTGTGGTGACCCCCAACCATAAAGTTATTTTCGTTGCTACTTCATAACTAATTTTGCTACTGGTATGTCTTAGGCGACCCCTGTGACAGGGTCGTTCGACCCCCAGAGGGGTCGCGACCCCCAGGTTGAGAACCGCTGCACTAGAAGCATTCGGATGAAATCTGGACGCGACTCGCCCGCCCTGCCTGCTGCTGGATCCTGGCCCGGAGTTTTCAGGGAGAGAAGCTGTCAGCCCAGCCCTAGTAGGTCCCGATGAATCTTAGCTCCTTCCTCTGCTAAGGCAAGGAGGTCTCCCAGCTGTCCAACGAGAAACAGTGAGTAGTGGAGGCCCCGGAGCCCAAGAGCCGAGTCCCACGCGGCTCTCCCACCCACCTGCTGAGCGTCCCTGAGCAAGTTTCCTACACGCTCTGCCCGTTTCTCTGTGAACAGTGAGGGTGCTCTCAGGACCGACCTCTGAGGGCCGTTGTGAGGACTGATGGACTCACTGCATCCATGCAGCACCTAGGAGAGACCTCCGCACTCACTGGCGCTAAGTAAACACCAGTCATTGCTGTGACCTCCCCTCTGCCGAGGACGCGGAGGGAGCAGTGCAGTCCCAGGAGACGGCTTCCGAGGCAAGCCTTCAGGGAGAACGGAACCCTGTCCACTGCATTTCCAGCTGTAAATTAAAGACAGACTTCTCTCTCTCTGACTTTTGTTTGTCCATACTTGACCAAACAAAAAGTGATTTATGCAAACAAACCTTTTACGTAGAACTCCTGAACAGAATTGGGTCACCCACGCGGCACAGGGGGAATTCTCTTTCCCGGTGCTAACCCCAGAGGGAAAATGCTGACGTCACACTCTTGTTCCCGTTTCTTCAGGAGGATCCCGGAATAATGGATTCAATATGAACTGTTTTAATAACCTACATGGATGACATTTTATACGAAACTCATTGCCACACGTAGTAGGAGGCCGGCAAGGCAGGGGCCATAAATCATACTGTCATTTCTTTTTTTCTTTTTTTTGTCTTTCGGTACGTGCCCCTAGCAGGAACCAAACCCAGGACTCTCTGGTCCACAGGCTGATGCTCCAACCACTGAGCCAAACCGGCCAGGGCTACTGTCATTTCTTATTATTGACTTGTAGGGATAAGCCTGCAACTGATATATTACCCGAAAGAGACTTTTAAAAGATTATAATTAAGCTCTTGTTTTTATAGTAAATGATTTTTTTCAAGAGGACAGCAAATGTCATCAGAGTACCAGATCTTAAAATCTGTTTAAACCTCTTGTGTTTGCCCTATATACCTGCCACAGGCGATGTTTCACCGCCGGAGGGTAAACCAGTCTGTTTGGGCACACACATACATGAAAGCCAAAAACAGAAAAGAGACAGAAACAGGGAGTCCGGAAGCAGACAGGAGAAGAGAGAAATAAACTCGTGGGTTAATTGTCTGTGTCTCCTAGACTTCTAACCCCATGGCCAACAGCATGACCCAAATACCTACTATGCAGCAAAACAGACCTTCCCAGACCTATGCTTTGCAGGCGTAGTTGGGCTGCTCGCCTTCTGTGCTTGTGAGAGGTGTTGATGTGCTGTGCCTTCCCAGGGTACCCCTTGTGGGTGGCAGCGATTCTCATGGCCCCAGTTCCTCGCCTGTGCCCAGGTGCACAGATCTGATGTAAGGGCTTTCAGGACACATGTAGGACGGAATCTGATACCCAGGATGCACCTGCCTTTATGTGTCCGGCACTCTGTTTACCTCATCTCATCTCACACTCGCAGTCCCTCCCCGGAGAGAGGTGTTGCTGCATTGTATGTGTGGTGACATTCGGAAGCGTGCAGACAGCCACCCAGCCACACAAATCACAATGACCGTGGGAAACCCTGTGTCCCACGACCTGGTCCCTGCAGCCAGATGAAGATGCTGTTTCCTGACTCCAGATGAAGCAGTCGGTGGCTGGCTCGTGTTTAGCAGAGCCCCGCTGTATCCAGTTCCTCTGTCTTTTTTAAAGGGTGAGTGATTCCTCCTTAGCAAGGCGAACGGCTCCTGCTGTGACGGGTGATGGCGCCGGGTGCAGTCTGTACCTGTGTCACTCAGACCAGGGGGGCTCAGAGGAGAGACGGGAAGACCTCCCTGTAAACAGGCGTCTTTCACCCAGCACCTGGCCCACAGAAAGCTCCACAGACGTGTGAACGCTCTTCAGCCAGCACGCTGGGCTGTTTCCAAGTGGGCTGGGGTCGTTTGTGCATGGTCACGTGGTCTGAGGTCACGGAAGTTGGCGTTCTTGCAGAGTACTGGAGCCCCAGCTTTGTCGTGCACTAGCTGTGACCGTGGGCCCGCCACCTAGCATTTCTGTGCTTCAGTGTCACCATCCGTGAAACGGAGAGATGGGCAGCACCTGCCTCACAGGGTGGCTATGAGGTTTGAATCCACCGATTAGTTGCTAGTGGTTACTGCACACAATGCCTGTGCACGGTGAGCGCATGGAAGGGCTGTGTGAGTACATGGAAGGACACTCTTGCTTGGAGATGCAGGGCAGGAGAAAATTCCTCAGTCACATGAAAGGGGCTTCTTCAAATAGGCACTTGACTCCTTCAGGGGTCTCAAGGACTTGAGTTGAGCAGTTCACCTGGAGGCTGACACTCCAACCTGAGCTGCCAGAGGCAGGACTGTCACCTGCAGAGGGGTCAGGAGCCGCTGGCTGCCTGCTGCACCGCTCTGAGGAGTTCTCACAGACGTCAGGGTAGCTGTCTCCTCTCTCTCATTAGCAGACCAGGGATGGCTTGTTGGGGGGAAAGCTGTAACCTCTTTAGTCTCAGTTTCCTCACTGGTAAAAAAGGTTTAATACTGGGGCCTTTCCCGAGATTTTCGAGGGCCCCTCGAGAGCAAATCAAACAGCCCCTCACAGAGGGCTCCGTGGCACACCGGGCACACAATTTCCCTTTTCTGTCTTCTCGAAGGAAAAGAAATTCTTAATCCCAAGCTTTTATGTTTTTTATCCTCACCCAAGGACATTTTTGCATTTAACTTCAGATAGAGCAGGAGGGAGAGAGGGAAGAAGAGAGAGAAACGTTGATGTGAGAGAGACACATTGATTGGTTGCCACCCACACGACCCCAACCGGGGCCAACCGCAACAAGGTACCTGCCCTTAGCAAGAACCGAACCTGGGACTCTCTGGTCGCCAGGCCGATGCTCTAACCACTGAGCAAAACCGGCCAGGACAATCCCAAGCTTTTAGAAATGAGAAATGTTTGAGCTGAAAGAAGGTACTGGAAGGATAAAGGGCCACTGAGCTGGAAAGTCCATTGACCATGGGGATCTAGTTTGGGGAACGATTTCCCAGTTATCAAAATGACTCAGTTGTAGTAAAGAAAGTAGAATAACTCATGTTTCCTGTGGGTTCCTTGCGTTCCGAGCAGTGTTCTGAGTGGATTCCATTCATCAACTCTCTAATCCTCAGCATGAAAGAAAAAATTGGCTACTTCGGTTTTGAGTGATGCTTTCTTAATCCACCTGTATTTGGCAGATTTATGTATGAATCTACCTGCTGATTTGTGCTCTTATTTATGCCAAAACTTTCCCGGGTTGTAGCAAAGGCTGGGGGACCTGAGCCCTTGCAGCCTGGGGGTGCTGACCAGCCCCTCCAGCTCATGGTGATTCTCAGACAAAGGCTCTGGGTCAGGCACCGGGTTCAAGCTGGGATGTTCAGGCAGCTGCTGAAGGAATTGTCACATAGGTGCCTACCTGGAGCACTGGTAGCCCTGAAAACATTCCTTATTTTGCCATCTGTTGAAGGATTTTGCTACCCGTTGTGGAAATGCCAGCAGTGGAGTTCAGTGCCCGCAAGGCCGGTGGCATGAACCTGAGCCTCGGTGCAGAGTGTGGAGGTCTGGCAGCAGGAGTTTTCTTTAAGGGCAAAGCAGGAGAGGGAGCGCGGCACGCCCAGCGCTGCTCTAAGGTGAGCCGCGCGCGCAGGTGCTTGGGAAGGGCTGTAGGATTAATTACATTCCCCACCTCCAGGGCGGCGCTCTTTCCTCCCAGCCCGCCCTCAGGGGATATGGAGGTGCCCCGGCCAGCACCCCCACGTCCTCCCCTCAGTTTTCTTTAGCATGGAAAAGGGAAGCCGCGAAGTTATACCCACTTCGTCTCCTCGGAGTCCCGTGCCCAGAGCAAACTGCTGGTTCCTCTCCAGGAAGCGGATCTTCACGTTGTAGACTTTGTTCCCATGGAACACCACCAGCACGTAGGGCTCCGTGCAGGACCTCGCGGAGCAGTCTCGGACCAGGAAGGTGCCGTCCTGAAGGGAAGAAAGAGGATGGTCTCAGCCGGCGTCCTGCCCTCGCCACGCGGACACGGCGACACCTGCGCGCCCCAGATTCCCCAATGGCTTCAGTTTCTGGTAAACTAGTTCTTGACTCGATTTAACTCAGTGTTTGAGGGACAGTAGGTATTCGGGTTCTTGTTATTTTCCGAGAAGTCAACCAGTCGGATCATGACACCCTTCTTCCATTCTTCCAGCACCCCGCCCCCCACTGGACCTCAGCAGCATGCCCCCCGCCCCCTGCGGTCCCCCGCCCCTGGGTCCTGCTCCAGTCGCCACCCTTCCCCAAAGGCCCCGTCTCGCGCTTGGGCTGCAGAGTAGCCCTCCCCCTCCCCTGCCCACGGGCGTCCCTTCACCCACCCGTGTTCACCTCTTTCCTGTCTGCCTGATGCTGGGCACTAGTCCAGGGACAGTGGGAGCCACCGCAGGCTTTGGGCATGAGGGGCCTCCAGCCTGACACGTGGGCCTCCGCGTGGGGAGACGTCGGTAGAGGCATAGGGTCCCCAAAAGAGATGTGGGGCTTCAAGGTCATTGAGGTCAAAGTGAGCGTAGAGGCTGTATGCCGGGGAGAAGGAGCCACCTGGCATGGGGTGGGGCAGGCGCAGAGCCAGCAGGGGGAGGCGACCCGCTGAGATGGTCGGAGGGCTGTGAATAGGCCGCCCAGGGCCAGAAACCCTCAGGCACACCCTGGGGAGTGGCTCAGGAGGAAGGTCGGGCAAAGAAGGCTGGGAAATGGAGCGAGCCTGAAGGTGAACGCACAGCCCGGGGCTGAGGGCTGTGGTCACAGCGCGGGGCGTATGATGGAAACTCTGACTGTAACCGCATAGGTCATTATAAATAATACATAAAAGTAGGTATTATGTATACTTTATATTTATAATAGTTGTTATATGTATTTATTTCTCTCCAGACTTTATTTAATATCTATACACCTATATGTAATTACAGCATATATCAAGTGTAATTAATATTTACAATATAGATATAGATTCATATAATGTGTATAATATTATATAACAGCAATTTTCAACCTTTTTCATCTCAAGGCACACAAACGAATTGCTGAAATCCTGTGGCACACCAAAAAAATATGTTTGTCAACCTGACACACACACATAAAGGGCATGATTTTCATTTATTCACCCTGGACAGCTATTGTTGCTAGGCTGTTGTCACTTTTTAATTTGACAATCTAAGGGCGAAGAGATCGGAGCCCCTGAAGAGATGGTCATGTATTGCATTTAAAAAAAATTCTTGCAGGACACCAGTTGAAAATTGCTGCTCTATAATAATATTTAAAAAATATTAAATTTATAAATACTATAAAACTATAGGGACGGTCTGATGATGCTGGCAGCTAAGGTTTATTGAGAATTGCCCTCAAAGTATCAAGCTCTTTGCACATATTATTTGCTCTTTACTTAAAATTTGAGGAGGTGTTTTATCCCCATTTTACAGGTGAGGAAATTCGGATCTGATAGTTGAAGTGAATCTTGTCAACGGAAAACCTGAAAGTCCAGCCCAATTTCTTGCTGTTTAAGTACATCAGGCTCCTAGAACATCAGGTGGGATGGAGACATTTTCTGGAACTTATTTTGCCTAAAACATGCAGCCATAGTTGAAGCCATAAGACTCCAGCACAGGACATGGCCAAGGATCGAAAGGGAGAGGCAGCAAGGTGTGTGGTCATGATCATCTTAAACCCTGCCACGAGGTGGTCACAACGACTCTGGGTTCTCCTGCAATGCAAATTATCTTTGTAAATGGGAAACACGTTTTGACAAAACCGAGACTAACAGAACAGGAAAATATGAAGTCATTCAACCGAGATTTTGTCTTCTCACTCTTCTGGGGGTGGGGGGGAGAAGGCAGAAATGGTCACGGAAGGGAGGGAAGGGAGCCCTGGCTGTGTGCATGGAGCGCCCAAAGACTGCCGGAGCACACGATGCCCGGTACACAAGGCTCCTCAAGCATCGGCTACACAGCAGATCCTGGGGGCAGGTCTCCTAGGAGCCATGGCTCCTTCGGGGCTGATCGGCCAAGAAGAGGAGGCAGAGTTGGGACTGGCACCTTGCTCCACCATTCTGCCCAGCCGAGGTCAGCCGTGGAGGCCGTCCCCTGGGGGGAGGGAAAGGGGGGGGTCTTTGCGGCAAGGCAGCACCCAGCCACCCTGGCTCCCATCTAGAATGTAAAGAACTTCCGGTCCAGAGAATGTAAAGAACTCTGATGGCTACTCAAGGCAGCTGTGATTCTGCGAAAGGAACACCAATCTCGAATACAGGTTCTGCCACCTTCTCCATCTGTGACCGAGACCTTGACTTTTCCCATCTAGGAAATGAGATACTTCCATGTATTCCTGTGTTCCAGAGACTTTGTTAGCACATGTGTTCATTTCCTAGTGTGGCTTTAACACATTACCATACTCTTAGTAGACTAAGGTGCACATTTATTCTCTTATAGTTGTGGAAGTTGAATTCCAACATGAGTCTCATTGGGCTAAAATCAAGGCATGGGCAGGGCTGCATTCCTTCTGGGGGGCCTGGGGGAGAATGTTTCCTTGCCTTTGCCAGCTTCTCGGGGCTGCCAGCCATCCTTGACTGGTGCCCTCCCGTGCCTGACTCTTACACGGGTCCTGCTGAATATATTGAACCCTCCCAGGTAATCCAGGATAATTTCCCCATCTCAAGACATCTGCAGATTCCTTTTGCCATGTAAGGTGACATAGTCACAAGTCCCGGAAATTAGGACGTGGACATCTTGTGTGTGGGGGGCATTATTCTGTTTTCCTTAACAACTTACACGTGATTTATCTTTTTAGTTTCTGAGAGCTCAGTCTTATTAAAATTGGTCGGGGTCCTATCATTTACACACCCACCCACTAATGGATGAATCCGTTCACTTGTATTTCCTCATTCCACAATGACCATTGTCTTGGTTAGTTGAGGATGGGTTTTGAGGTGGCACGGGTGTTAAAAGCCTTTCTGTGACATCTAAACCATCCAGTATCATTCTCTGCACAGAGTAGAGAATAGTTGCTCAGTAACTTTTTGTTGTTTGTGATGATGGTTACAGTAGTCATTGGATCTGGTTGTAAAATATTTCAGTTCTCTTTTTGGTCTCTTGGTAGCTTTGCACTTCCCCACCCGCTGTGAAGTTAGGTCTGGTTGCGTGACTTTGGCTGATGAAACATGAACAGAGGTGAAACATGTCACTCTTGAGAGGCTATGTTGTGAGCACACACTGAGTCGGAGCCACCAGCAGTCTGGGTGTACATCCCCAAACCCATCTTGAACACAAAAAGCAAGCAAGGATTCCAGTTTAGTTCTGCTAAGCAACTGAGAACTTGGGGTTGTTTGTTACTGTAGCATAACGTGTCCTATCCTGACTGTTACAGCATTCACCATCTTTGCTCCTTCCCCGGAGAAGTGAGACACAAAGACACAACTATTTCTTGGGCAGACCTTTGTTCAATAAGGAGATGGAACTTGAAGGAAGCAAAAGGAAGGTGCTTTCTTCTGACCTCCATTTGTTCCCCATCCTGTGGACCCAGCTTCCACATCTGACCTCCAAATAGTTCCTTAGCGTTGATTTCACTATTTTCACTTCATCAGGAAAGAAACCTACCCTTAAAGATGTTGAGAAACTTGACAGTCACACAGCTGATGAGTGACACAACCAAGTCTCAAATCGGAAAGTCTGTTTGAGACCCTCCTTTCAGGGACACCCTGCCCCGCACAGAAACGCAAGGTGATGCGGGAACCACCACAGCGAAGCGCACTGCGGGCAGAAGACCGGAGCCAGTGGCCCGAGGAGGCATTACCTTGTTCTCCTTGATCAAGGCCTCTTCCACCGCCTGGCGACTGTACTCCCCGACGTACCAGTTGCTCTGCGAGGCCTCCTGCAGGTTAAATGATGAATAGTTCAGGGACAAAGGGATGCACTAATTAGTAATGAATGAAAATGTACTTTTGTTCCCCCAGTGCCAAATCACAATGTGACTGACAGTAAAAATATGGTACAACAGTTCTGTCCCTGGATCCTGACACACAAAACGTGGCTGCAGCTTAGGAATCACCAAACTGCACTCCATCACTGAGAAAGGCCCTCGGCACCGTGCTCAGAATGGACACCAAACCCTCCAGCCTCGTGCTTTCTGACTGCCGGGGCTTATCGAGCTGGGATGTTTATTGTTTGAGGAGTCGATGCTGCCCCAGTCACCATGGAAACGGCAGGGGAGGGCCACACAGGTGCACACTGAGAGCATCTGTAGGCCGCTTGCCTAGTCACCTGCGGCGGAACTATGGTTTGAGCCCTAGTCTGTCTGGCTTTTGCCCTGTGCCATGCTCTCTTAGTTATACCAGCTGATTTCTTTGGATTATAAACTCATCCCAGCAGAGAACAAAGGGCAGTCGGAGAGCTGACCAGGGACCTGTGGTTCCCAGGGATCCTTATAGAAACAGCCCCTGCACGAGTCCACCACGTCAAAGACCCTTCCTCGTCCACTGTCCCAATCCATCCCTGCAAACACCCCTGTCAGGTGGGCATGTCTGGACGGGGTGGCTCAGGAAGCCAACACCTGTCACCTGGTTAACAAGTGCTAGGGATGAGACATCAGGTCTTCGGTCTGTCATTCCGAGTCCCCAGTCCTCCCAGGTCCTCCCAGCACAAAGCTGATCTTCCCAGTGGTAGGCCCGTGTGAGCCAGCTCCGCCCAGCTCCGTGGCCTTCCTTCCTGCCACCCCAGCCCTAGCACCGGGCTCTGGCTTGTCATCCTGTGGACACGTGGCTTCAGGACTTGGCATGAGCTGGCCCTACTGGCTGGAATCCCTCCTGCTTCTCACCTCCTCCTACTCAGTCTGCCATTCTCTTCCGTCAAGATTGGACTCACACTCATCTCTTATTGGAGTGCCCTTTGGAATGAAGTCCTTTACTCTTTATTACAGTAAATTGTTATAGTTGTTCTATCTTATCCTTAGTTGTTGTTAATCCTTGACTGCCTAGCTGATAAATTAGGCTTCATCATAGATGTGTCTGTTTGTGTGGGAAACAAGGTAGTAAATACAGGACGGCACCTTGGTGTGCACCACCACCGTCTCACCGTGCCTGACACCACAGATACGGACCCTGTGTTTACTACGGGGGCTTGGGACACATCCCCTGTGAATAGGGTACACAACGGTACATAAATTAGAGAATCTGGTGAAAGAACAGTACACAGTGTTACACAGCAAAACACTTAAAATATTAAAACCCAGTAATATTGAGGGAAAATGAAGTCCCTTTGAGGCAACGTTCATAAAGGTCTGTTTAGATGCCAAGTTATCTGGAACGACAGCGCGGAGACGTGTCTACCTCTTCCTCAGAACTCAGGACAGGCTTTGTCCAGTTCACGTTTTTATAGTGAACAGCGTGTTCCGGAAACGGACGTCTCTGAGGAGAGTGGCATGGCACGCTTCGCTTCTGATCTAGGAAAGATAAAGTCACAGTGAAATAGAGTGCCAGATGGCCTTCCAACGAGGAGCTGGGCGGAGCTTGTCGCTCCCTTATGTGTCTGGGGCCACCTGGGTGTACACCGGCAGCGTCTCACTGCGGACGGCACCTGGGTGTACACGGCAGCGTCTCACTGCGGACGGCACCTGGGTGTACACGGCAGCGTCTCACTGCGGACGGCACCTGGGTGTACACGGCAGCGTCTCACTGCGGACGGCACCTGGGCGTACACGGCAGCGTCTCACTGTGGACGGCACCTGGGCATACCGGCAGCGTCTCACTGCGGACGGCACCTGGGCATACCGGCAGCATCTCACTGTGGACGGCACCTGGGCGTACACCACCACTGTCTTCCTGTGGACGGCACCTGGGTGTACACCGCCACCGTCTCACTGCGGACGGCACCTGGGCGCACACCACCACTGTCTTCCTGTGGACAGCACCTGGGTGTACACCGCCACCGTCTCACTGCGGACGGCACCTGGGCGCACACCACCACTGTCTTCCTGTGGACAGCACCTGGGTGTACACCGCCACCGTCTCACTGCGGACGGCACCTGGGCATACCGGCAGCGTCTCACTGCGGACGGCACCTGGGCGTACACCACCACTGTCTTCCTGTGGACAGCACCTGGGTGTACACCGGCAGCGTCTCACTGCGGACGGCACCTGGGTGTACACCACTACTGTCTTACTGTGGACAGCAGTCTCCTCTGCACTCTTCTCTGGCTTCAGCTTTTTCTCCTTTCTCTCTAAGACAACCAGACTAATCTTTAAAAATGTGATTCTGACTTTGCTACTCCCTCTGGTAAAAATCCTTCCATGATTTTCTTTACACATAGAAGAAAACCCGCCCTGGCCGGTTTGGCTCAGCGGTTAGAGCGTTGGCCTGCGGTCCTGAGAGACCCGGGTTCGGTTCCCGCTAAGGGCATGTGCCTCGGTTGCAGTTTGTCCCCGGCCCTGGTCGGTTGTGCGGGTGGCAGCCACTCGATGTGTCCCTTTCACGTCGATGTTTCTCTCTCTCTCTCTGTTCCTCTCTCTCCCTCCCACTCTACCTGAACAAAAAATGGAAAAATGTCCTCGGGTGAGGATAAAAAAAAAATAATAATAAAAAAAATAAGAGATCTTAAAAAAAAAAAAAAAGAAGAAAACCCAAACGTTTTACTTCTGTCAGTAAGACCCTCAGTAATCTTTCTTTCTTTCTTTTTTAATCCTCACCCAAGGACATTTTTCCATCTTTTGTTCTGATAGAGTGGGAGGGAGGGAGGGGGAGAGAGAGAGAGAAACATCGACGTGAAAGGGTCACATTGAGTGGCTGCCACCCGCACGACCAACCAGGGCCGGGGACAAACTGCAACCGAGGTACATGCCCTTAGCGGGAACTGAACCCGGGTCTCTCTGAACCGCAGGCCGACGCTCTAACCGCTGAGCCAAACTGGCCAAGGCTAGTAATCTTTCTTTTCTGATTTCTCCATCTCCTCATCCCCCACCCATCTTCCTATCTTTCCTTCCTTCCTTCCTTCCTTCCTTCCTTCCTTCCTTCCTCCCACCCACCCATCTACCCACTTATCCCTCATCGTCTGCTCTGTTCTGGCCGTAATGAGCTTTGTTCAGTTTCTTAAACAAGCCAAGTTTGTTCCCAACTCAGGAAACACTATATTTTTAAAACTTGAAGAATGCCATTTTGTCTTAATGGAATCTCACAATTTTTAACCTGAAAGAAAGAATGGCGGACAAACTATGGTTATCCAGACTCGGGCATTTGGCAGATATTTTATTAGAAATGAACAAAGTGAGCTTGTTAATTCATGGAAAACAACTGCAGTATTTGTTGCCAATTTTAAAGTTAGAGTTTGAAATGCAGATTGGAATTTGGAAAAACTCGTACCTGCCCTCTTGACATAACAGCATCGCAAAAGACTTTCCTGCTGAGACTGGTGGTGGTGCTTAGAAATATGGTTTCAAAAACTACTTTAGCCCTGGCTGGTGTGGCTCAGTGGTTGAGCATCCTCCCATGCACTAAGAGGTCACGGGTTCGATTCCGGGTCAGGGCACATGCCCAAGTTGCTGGCTTGACCCCCAGTAGGGGGCGTGCAGGAGGCAGCCAATTGATGTTTCTCTCTCACTGATGTTTCTTTCTCTCTCTCAAATCGATAAAAACATTTTTTTAAAAAAGGTTAATCTGAAAAATAAATAAATAAAAGGTTACTCTTTAAAAAAAAAATTCTTTCATAATGAAGTATGTTAACATCAAAAAGATCTGCTCAGGCCTGTGACTTATTATTTTCCAAGTGACTAATGTATGAAGCTGCAGAATCATGCCTGGGTAAAGATTTTTTAGAAGAGGGGATAAAGCAATCGATTTTAAAGTCTTTTAAAAGTTCCCTGAAAGGGTTTTGACTTCACCTGATACTCAAGCTTCAAGACACGACCGCTTGCCAAGGTTTTTAAAAAATTAAAAAAAAAAATTTTTTTGTTTTGTTTTCCTTTATTGATTTTAGAGAGAGAGGAAGTGAGAGGGAGAGAGAGAGAGAGAAACACTGATGAGAGAGAACATCGATTGGCCGCCTCCTGCATGCCCCCCACTGGAGATGGGGCCCACCACCTGGGCATGTGCCCTGACTAGGAATCGAACTGGCAACCTCTTGGTGCAGGGTAGATGCTCAACCACTGAGCCACACCAGCCAGGCTAAAAAAAATTTTTAATGACTTTTAGAGAGAGGAAGGAAGAGAGAGAGAGACATCTATTGGTTGCCTCCTGCACGTGCCCTGACTGGGACTCGAACCCATCACTTTTAGTGCACAGGATGATGCTCCAACCAATGGAGCCACACCAGCCGGGCACTTGTCAAGTCTGTATGTGGCCTTTTGTCAATGTACTTAAGTGAAAGTAACATTTTCACGACATGTCATTTCATTTCAGTACATAATGATAACAGATGAATTTTAGGAAATTAAGGCTAAGGAAGGAGTGAGGTGTTATGAGGAATATTAAACAAAATATTTATAAATAATTTAGTAATTTCAAGTAAGAAACAACTAAAATTCCATAAAGCCTTGAGGGTATAAAAACAATTTTGTAGAAATAAAATACTGCCCAATAATAGCATATAAAATGGAAGAACAGTGATCAGTGTGAAGGCTAAATATATGCTAGATAGTCATTTTTAAATGTTTTATTTTTAAAAAATTTTTATCCTCACCCGAGGACATTTTTGCATCTATATTCAGATAGAGTGGAGGGAGAGAGTGAGAGAGAGAGAGAAACATTGATGTGAGAGAGACACATCGACTGGTTGCCACCCACACCACACCAACCAGGGCCGGGAAAAACTGCAACCGAGGTATGTGCCCTCAGTGGGAACCAAACCCGGGACTCTTTGGTCCCTGGGCTGACACTCCAACCTCTGAGCCAAACCAGCCAGGGCTAGATAGTCTTTTTAAATATTTCATTTACTAATTTGAGAGAGGGAGAGAGAGAGAAAGGGAGAGAAACATCGATTTGTTGTTCCACTTATTTCTGCATTCATTGGTTGAGTCTTGTATGTGCCCTGACCGGGAATCAAATCTGCAACCTTGGAATGTTGGACGACGCTCTAACTGACTGAGCTACCTGGCCAGGGTTAAGCTATATAGTCAATTCAGTCTAGAAAATGTAAGCAAAGTTATAGTCTTGGTTAATAGCTTGGCAATTTCTTTGAAAGAATAGGATACTTTATTTTCCTTTATTGATTTTAGAGAGATGAAGTGATAGAGATAGAAACCTTGATGAGAGAAAACATTGATTGGCCGCCTCCTGCATGCCCCCCACTGAGGATCAGGCCCACAACTTGGGCATGTGCCCTGATGGGGAATTGAACCAGCAACCTCTTAGTGCATGGGTTGATGCTCAACCAGTGTGCCACACCAGCTGGGAGAATAGGATACTTTTTAAAATTAATTTTTCAAATTGAATTTATTGAGGTGACATTGGTTAATAAAATTATATAGGTTTCAGGTGTATAATTCTACAACGCATCATCTGTATATTATATTGTGTGTTCACCACTCCAAGTTAAGTCTCCTTCCATCACCACTTAAGAATAGGATACTTTTGACACAGCACATTTTTGAGGCACAATACTAGATCAAACCTTAGCAAACATTTATGTGCCGGTTCCCGTAAGTTAGGCTATAACGCATTTATTCTGCTCCTGTTCACGGAAAGCCGAATTCTGTCGAGGGTTAGTAAGGAGAACAGAGTGCGCGCCGGAAACGTGGAAAGTTCTAGTCTCACGGTTCCAAGGGTTGTGGCTGTTAACACTGAGCCTGAGAATGCTGGTTATCGGACCTGTGTGTGTTTGTTGTAGCGAACTCTTTGACCTGTGAAGTTTAAATCACATTCATCATAGTATGTTAAGTTCACCCACCAATTTAAGGCCTTGAAAATAGGAATACTGCTAAAGACATTTCTCCTTTTAAAATTGTGTTTTAAAAGTTTTCTGTATTGTTTAGGGAGAGGATGTAAATTTTAGAGTTTTACAATTCAATCGTGCTTTTATTTATTTAATTAAAACATTTTTTTTCCTTTTATTTATTGATTTTAGAGGGAGAGGGAGAGGGAGAAAGCGATAGAAACATTGATGTGAGAGAACATCAATTGGCCGCCTCCTGCATGTCCTCCCACTGGGGATCAGGCCCACAACCTAGGCATGTGCCCTGACCAGGAATCAAACCTGCGACCTCTTGGTGCATGGGTCAACGCTCAACCAGTGAGTCACACTGGCTGGACTATGCTTTTATTATTTATTTGTTTATTCATTCATTTATTTAGGTGGTACATGCCCCTAGCAGGAACCGAACCCAGGACTCTCTGGTCCACAGGCTGACGCTCAACCGCTGAGCCAAACTGGCCAGGAATGGACTATGCTTTTATTTAAAATGTTAAAACCAATGGAAGAAAAGTGTAACTTCCAAGAAAGAGAAGGGGGGATGGAAAGAGATGAGCCCAATATCTGGCAGGAAAAGAAACAAAAAGTCGGTGAAAAGCAGGACAAATAGGCACAACATAATATAAAAATGAATAAAAATGTTGATAATCACAATAAATATCAAAGATACAAACTGAGCATTTAAAAATTAGATGCAAACCATTATGCTGTACACCTGAAACAAATACAAAATAATATTAAATGTAAACTGCAATGGAAACACATAATAAAAAATGTAAAAAAACCCCAAGAAAACAAAATTAGGTGTGGATTGGTTTAAACTTCACAGTTATGTGCTAATTGCACATCTAAAATGTAATGGCACAGAGAATGGAGAGCTGTGTGCCAGGCGAATCCTAACCAAAAGAAAGCTGAAGGCGCTGTGGTAATAATTAGACTTTAACAATTTATTTAAAATATAGCAAAGCAAGACAGAGAGTCTTATTATTGGAATAGCCACACTCTCTTTTAAACATGGATCGAAACATTAAGAACATACTCGTGAGAAGAAAATCGCCGTTATCAGTATTTCCTATCAGTTGTGTGGTGCACATTCTAGTCTTCAGTGATTATGAATTTTTCATTATATTGTGGCAACTGAGTTATTATATTTCAACTGTGGGTGCCTTGCTTGAATATTTTAAAAGTCCTACATGAAGAAGAGCATTGGGAAGCAGCTATATGCATTGGTAGTCTATTCAGAGAATGATTCAGAAAACAAACAAACAAAAAAACAAGTTGGCCACGCAATTTCCCCCTGAAGTTCTAATTGAGCCTTTATTTACTGAGTAAATAAAATTCTGAGCTGATAATCCACTACAACCGGTTTTAATTGATTTTGTTCTAAAATCATGACAATCTCTGGGAAATTCTCCTTACATAAAACATTGCCTTTGAGTGTTATACCCCACGACATAGGACCGTCCCCTCTGGAGAATGGAGGGTCACAGAAATGAAGGGATCGACTCAGGGTAAGTGGAAGAATGTTGGGGAGGACACTGTGTAGGTGGCAATAAAATCTGAGGCAGGGTCATCCAATAAAAGCAGCGTGGGTTGTAAAATCACACTGTATCAGTAATCACTAATATCTCAAAATTCTTAGAAAGCTCTTGGCACAGTGCCTGACCGTATTAGTAACTCAATAAATGCTACTGCTAATGTTAACATTATTGGGAGCACACAGCTCCAGACCTTTCTTTTGTAACTTAAAAGCATTTTATTTTAACCAAGTATCCATACATATTTATTAGCAAATTTACATCCACTTAAAGAATCATAAGAAAAAAGTCCTACAGTTTAAAGAATAAAATGTGGATAGAAAAAGAAAACTTTAGTGAACAAAAACTAAAAACAAAAAGAAAACAAATCCTCCACAGTCTCAAACTTAGAGAGCGACGCTTCTGTTTTGGAGCATAACCAAACCAATCTGGATCCCCTTCTAGTATCTCAAAATAAGTTTGCTTTTGTCTTGAGACCGTCTGCCTAGGCTCCTGAGAGCTCAGCTCGAATTCATGCCTCAGAGAACTGAACTATCAAGCTGGTGAACATTTCCAAAATCTTTTCCCGCTTGTAAAATAAAGATGACGATGTCCACATGGCTAGAGAGTGGATTCGCTATTCTGCACGAAGAGGCGGCCCCCCTGCCCGAGGCCTTCCACTGGAACCGAGCTGTGGAAAGCCAGGGGACCCAGAGCTCCGTGCCAGCTGGCCGGGCCTGCTCCCTTGCGCACCTGCTTTCCACCAAGCCCGTGATCCACGGGGCGACCACGGCTCAGGAGGCGGATGGAAGGGAATGGCAGGCGCGTAAACATCTGGTCAGTTAAAGGAGGGGCTGTTTCTCGTTCGTATTCTTAGGGCCCCACCCAATTTTGGGTACAAATCATATGCTCGGTGGATATTTGTTGATCGAAAGAGGAATTAAAGGCGTCTGGAGGCCAAGACATTCCCCCTGGTCACCCCGGCTGTTTCTCTAAGCAGCTTTGTTTCCTGTGAACACAGAACAAGCTCAAAGCCCGGCACAAATGACCGGCGCCCAGCCCCGTGCTCGGCCGGGCTCCTGTCCGTGGCGACCACCCTTCGCTAATTGCTGCTCCACTCTCTGCTCACTCTCTACTTCTTATTTGTGCAAGATTTTGCCTTTCAAGTTCGGGATTGCTCTTTCAGCTGTGATTCCGCTTCGCCGTCCTGGCAGCGTACTCGCCAATCCCTTAGGTGATGCCCTTTCTGCACCTGTCAGCCTCTGGACTTCCCGCCTGGGTGCCCAGCCTTATGCTCTTAGTACAGCGTCGCTGGGCCTCCAGGACCACTGTCATTTGATTCCAAGGAGTTGAGCTCATGCGGTAAATGACTGCCCCCTTTGACCACCTGCCCTCAAGAAACACAGCCCTCCTGGGAAACTCTCAGCAGTGTGCACGGCAGGTGGAGTGAGCTTTCCAGGTCGGTTTTCCAGTGTGAGGCCCAGGTGGCCCAGGAAGCAGAGAAGGCCAGGTGGCCAGGGAGGACACCCTTGGTCTAAGGCAATCAGTTGGGCAGGGAATCCCTGGACAAGGAACGAGAATACAGAGAAAAGAGGAGAAATCTTGAAACGTGCCAGTTGTCTATTATGTGTCTAGCAGAGGGCTGTGTGTGTGTGTGTGAATTAACCCTGTGAGTTAACATCATTATTTGCATTTTATGGATGGAGGAGGGTGAAGTTCCAAGAATGAACTTGTAGAAGCTGACCCTGCTGTAGGGAGGAAGGCGTGACCTCGGCACCCCACGGGGGGTCCACTTCCTCCAGCCCTAAGCCCCCTCTTGTGGCTCAACAGAGAGCGAGCCTGCAGGATTGGACCTGAGCACAGGTCTCCCTGGCAGGGAAGGAGGGGAAAAAAAAAGACGAAAGAACATGACATCTCGTTTGGGCAAAATAATACGAATGATGTCAAAACCCATCACCTCCTGTAATTGCTATATATACTACTTCAGATCTTGCCCCAGACACGGTATCCTTTGATTTTTATCTTTACAATCCATGAGTAAGAGAGGTTGGTTTTATTTTCTCCATTTCTCAGATTTTCTTAAGAGAAATCTGTTTTACACCCAGTGGATTGGCCACAGCGTAATGTTTCGTGACAGCTGTTGGAGCAAATGGGCCACCGGGGCTCTGAAGCTGCTGGTGAGACCCAGGGGTACACCTGCTTTGGAAAATCCGTCCAGTACGAGTGAAGAGAGGGATATCCTAAGACCTATACATTTACTCTTAGAAAACTTAGAGTTTGTACATGGGAAACATGTACATGTTACGTATGTGGGAAGCTAGCAACAATATTGTTCCCGACATTGTAATGCTCATCAGAGGGGGAACATGGAAAACCTCAGTGATCTTATTTAATTATGTTTAAACATTGTTATCTTAACACAATGGAATGCTATCTGTACGTGAAAAAGAAGCCAGTTACATTCATAAACATCAGCTCAGCAGCTCCGGGGTTTACAAAACCAAAGTCACAGTGCAGGAATTCTGTAGTGTGATGACGTACCTGTCTGCTTCATGCGTCTTAGGTAAAGTGTTCTTACCTCTGCTTTGCACCCCGTGGCTGCTCATCATGGACGAAGAGCTAAAGAAAATGTGAGAAAGGGAAGAATGTCAATATTCCCCATGCTGGGTGTACTTCCACGCACAGGCAAGGTCAGTGACAAAGGTCCAGGCACATTTGCAGAGCACATGGTATTTTACTGGATGGGCTAGAAGAAGCATCTGGTTTGTGAGGCCGCAGGAGGTCGGTCCTTTCTCTCCTTTCCCAAGACAGGCACATGTTAGATATTGGAACAAACTGCCCACATGAGTTCTTTTCTTTTTGTGGTACGTGCCCCTAGCGGGAACCGAACCTGGGACTCTCTGGTCCGCAGGTCAATGCTCAACCGCTGAGCCAAACTGGCCAGGGCCACATGAGTTCTTTTCATGTCATTTCAGGGAGCACATATGGTGATTCTTTACCTGTTGAAGACACGAATTTAGTCTTGCCTTGTGAACTACAGTCACTATGGAAAATGATATGTGGCTGGTAGGGCTCCTATTCCGTAGTAATTATTTACCAATTAAGGGGGAGTATAGAAAGCGCTTTATTCCTTCTTGAAATGTGAGCTAGCTGAGAACACTGTGTGGATTATTGTAAGAAAATCTATAAAGAAAAAGGGATTGTAAAAAATAGAATAAAAGAAAATCAAAATACCAATATGCATTTCTAAGCACAATAGCAAGGATGCGACGAAGACTGTTCCCCAACGGCTCTAGTTACCACTTGTTTAGCTTTGCGGAACACTCAGCTCCAATCCCTGGCTCACTTTGTGCTGTGGTCAGCGGCATCGCTGTGTGCTCTAGGCGCTACTACCGTTAAATCTAATTACCCAGGACTAGTCCTACCAGAAACGGTGCTGTTGACTAAGGCTCTGGGCTAATTAAATGAAATGTAGCCCGTTTCTACCAGCGCTCAAATCGACCACACATCTGGTTTTTCTTATCTCTGAGCGCCTAGGGTCTTAAGGCTTGCTCTGGAGGTAAAAATGTTAGCTGATTATTTAACCATGGCATTGTGTTGTGATCTCTAGCCAGACTTCTTCTGGGGGGGGAGGGGAGGGCTAACCAAAGCACTTATTTGCATATATGCATGAACAGTGGACACAGTGCGGTGAAGGCCTGGGAGGGAGCTGTGGGAGGGGGTCAATGGGGGGGGGGCATCTGTAATACTCTGAACAATAAAAAAAAGAAAAAAAAAGAAAGACTTTGATTCTGTTAACACCAGGATTCCTTTACCGGGAGCCGGTGTACAATTTTGATAAATGTCTGGGGCGGGGGGTGGGGAGTGGGGGGGTGGATCATCTATAGCAAAATGTCTCTGCCCTAATTTTTTAAAGAAATGTTGAGAGACTAAGAACATTCTTTGAGGATATTTTCGGTCTCCAAGTACTGAGTTTATAAGGATTGAAGCAAAAAACAAAAACAAGCAAACAAACAAACAAATAATGATTCTTTCATTTTGCAGACGTGTGCTGAGTAGTTGCTGGGTCCATGGCGTGTTTCGGGGAGTATAAGATGAGGGAGACGTATCCTCTGCCCTAAAGCAACTTAGTTTACGGAGGAAGGATGTGGGGTCATAATCACAGTGCGGGGTGAGTGCCATGACGGGGCGGCACCTGCGGCAGCTGCCGGTCACCTAACCCAGACAGAACCACTTGGGACCTCAGGAAAGGCCTCCTGGGAGACGTGTAGCTGAGCTGGCTCCGAGAGATGAAGAGGAGCCAGTAACAAGGGAGGGTGTGTTCCAGGCAGAGGGGACATCGGGTGCAAAGGCTCAGAGAAGAAAGCTTATCTTATCCTGCAACAGACCAGAAAGCAGTTCCTTCTGGACAGAAGGTAAGGCATGGCAATGGTAAGGGTCATCACATGGCCACCGCAGCAGCCCAGGTGACATGGGTGGGGCTGGTGCCTGCTGGGAGCTCGGGACATGAGGAGAGACGGAGATAGAATTTTGGGAGGTGGAAAGGGGTTGGGTGGGAAAGAGAACGCGTTGTTTACTGCGGTGAGGAAATTTGTGGGAGGGGGAGCTGACTTGGGAAGAAAGCAGAAACGAAGAGTCCACTTTCAGCATTCCGGGTTCTAGCCGCCTGCCACTTATTTGAGGAAGGCTGCCCAGTGGGTGTGGAGCTAAGAAGGGTGGGTGTGGCTGAAGATGGAGGTTTCGGAACCTAGATCAGCTCAGGGTTGACATTCAGGGCTGTGGGGGGCTGGAACCGCCTCGGCTCTCAGGGAGAGGAAGCAGGACTCGGTGACCCTGAGGAACAGCAGCATCTAGAGGTCAGCTTGGGGCAAGTCCAAAGCGGGGCTCAGAAGAAGAAGCCAGTTAACAGCAGAAGAAAAATCAGGAGACCGTTCAATCAATTCAACAAATGAACAAAAGAAGCCAAACCACACCAAACAACTGCTACAAGAGTGGGTGTGGCTGACAGCTCATTATCTTTTCATGACAATACAATGGCTTTATTTTCCTTTTAGAAAATGACATTAAGAAGGGTATTATAATGTGCCATGGGCGAGAATTTGTGTCAGATTGGGCCTTAAACAGAAAACAGCCTAATAAGAAGAAGCCAGAGTCCTCATACCCACAGGGCAAAGACTGAGAACAAAGTTACTGAAGGTGTGAAATAGGACCAGCAGGAAAGTGAGGGGGGCCATGGGGGCGGAGCTCCCCCTGGTGGGCAGGAATGGCCATGGCAATGAGAGCGCCGTGTACTGGGCACTTGGCGCAGGCCTGGCTCTGCTCTCCGCTTCGGGTGTGAGACGAGCCATGTTGCCCAACGTCACAGGCTTGCTGGTGGTGAAGCCGGGCAATCCGATCTCAGTGCGTTCCTCCCAACCACTGCTCTGGCCCACCACAGACACAGCGTAGCCCTGTAAATGTTTATTAGATAACATGACAGCAGATTCGCCTTGGGCAGGCCCTGGGAAAGTCAGGATTCACGGGCTGCTGTTTTAGAATGAAGTCAGTATAGACATCGCGGGCCGCAGAAAAGTGAAGTCGGACCTGACTTCAGCGGGAAGGGCCTCAGCCTCTCTGGCCTCCTTTATTCCCTCTGAGGCTGAGGCGTGGGGCAGAACAGTCTCTTGGATTCAGTGGCTTTAAGCTGGGGTCTGATGAATGGAGCATAAGAGCAACAGAGGGAAGTGTTATAGGCAGAGAGTGCCTGCAAATGTCCTGTGGTAGGTGGCAGTGGAGAGTGGCATGAACTGAGGCTGAAGCCACTGGTCAGACTGGGGTTCTAAGATCCTTATAGCACTCATTTTGGAGGCCCTGGGTTTGTTTTAAAGAAGCCACCACTGGTTCATAGTGGCTTACAGCCCAAGACTAGCTTCCTTGACTCTTTAGTTGGGATGACAATTGTCACAGTAACCTGATCAGGAAAGTACTGAATCAGGTAATGGTATTTTTTTTTTAATCCTCACCTGAGGACTTTTTTTCCAATTTTTTGTTCAGATAGAGTGGGAAGGAGAGAGAGGAAGAGAGAGAGAGAGAGAGAAACATTGACGTGAAAGGGACACATCAAATGGTTGCCACCCACACCATCAACCAGAGCCGGGGACAAACTGCAACCAAGGTACATGCCCTTAGCGGGAACTGAACCTGGGTCTCTCTGGACCTCAGGCCAACACTCTAACCGCTGAGCCAAACCAGCCAGGGCAGGTAATGGTATTTTTAAGCCCTGGCCATCTGTCAAGTGAAGTACAAAAGTAACCGTAAACTTCTGTGTGGTCATCAACTGAGTCTAGTTAGAAAGGCCAACTCTCTTCCCAGATTCACTGGCATCTGTGCCAGTTAACCCGATCTAGTTAACTAGTTAACACGCGGGTCTTCGCATCGCCCATGCTCCTCTAGCCCTCACTCGGACCAGCACAAAGTAGTACAGGAAGGATGACGCTATCGGCTTTAATAACAGCTGTGGTTCCAGGCTTCCTGAGAAGGCCAAGGACTTCCTGTTTCTCAGGAAGCCTTGGCGAGTCATTATCCTACACAGCACAAGGCTGACCCCCAAGCTGGGACCCAACCAGGGGTCCCTGGCTCCTTAAGCTGGGACCCAACCAGGGGTCCCTGGCTCCTCACCTGGCGGTGGCAAGAGGGATCTCTGGAGCACTTTGGTTCTGTGACCAGTGAGATGATTCGGGCTTCATCTGGTGATGAGAAACTGTAAGAAGAAGTCACAGAATTTAGTCGGGATGCAAAAGGAACATGACCTGAGAACATGAGAGGCCCATTAGCATGGCTATAATTTCCTCCAGTAATTTCTGATGATTAGAAGTGGACTCTTGGTGGCCGGTAGAAACTGTCACCCACATATTCTACACCCACCCTGGCTCCTGGGAGAGGCTTCTCCTTGAGGCTATAAACATGGCTTTCAATAGTGAACATCCAATACTATTATTGAGAGAATTGAATCTGGAACTCATCATTGAACTTCCCAAAATATAGATCATTAGGCTGGAAGGAATTTGGTGTGGAAGGGAACAGGAGTGGAATTCTGCATTCAAATGAAAACTTACATAGAAACATAAAGAAGTTAAATCCAAGAACTGTTTTGAGCACCGTAGGACACGAGGATGCCCAGAGCGGCCCACACACCCAAATTCTCGTACCCGCTGCGACAGGGCAGGAGAGCCCCAGGGTCCTGACCTGGTTTCCCAGGCATGCCTTTCTCAGCACGACCCCTTTGATCTCCAAGGTTTGGAAAGTTCTGCCAACCATATGAACTGGAGTTATTTGGTAATTACGTAGGCCGTTGCTGTTACCACTTTTTATTTCCTTTTCATCGTGAATAGATTTTGATCGCCATCCAGGATTGCCAAGGGCACACACTACTACATATGAAATCCCGTAACACTCTCCCGATTTCAGCCGTGAGTGCCAAAGGTCAGGAAGCATATGGACACCTACATGTCTTCATCTGGGTTGCTGCTCTGGGCTCGGTCCAAGGCCGAATGGACACTTTGGATTGAGGGACGGTGATTACTTGCAATGTGATTGGAGTCAGTCACTGGCCCACTGGTCACACATACTGTAGAAGTGTTTCATGTCATGGTGAGCATCTGCCCCGGTGAGCTGAACAGTGCCCCCTGTGGCACTGACGGTCACTGCAGCCCCGAAGCCCGAGCCGAGCCAGGACGTGTTAGGGGGCGGAGCTCCAGTGTCAAGGGCAGTTTCCTTCAGGTTCTGGATTTTCTCAGCTTGCCAGCAGACCCCACGCCTCCAACAGGGTCCCTCGGGAGTCTACAAACCCAGATCAGGCCTCGCTCCAGTCTCGCGTCCTCAGCAGTGGGAAGAGCATACTAGAGGCCCACGGAAGCAATGCAGCCCCGGAGAAACCACAGTGAGTGGGTGGAGACCTCCGCTCTTTGTCCCCACGCTGCCAGTGTTACCTCTTGGGGCCACGGCTCAGGCCCTTGGCTCTGGACACAGCTCATCATTCTAAGTGAATGGTGAGCAGTATTTCAAAGGTGGACATGAAGTCCTACTTAGTCCTACTGTTACCTACTTAGCATCCTGCAGCTGGCGCGTGAGGGTTGGCCTGCGTGCTTCCACTGCAGTGACACCCATGGTGTGTGTGCGTGTGTGTGCATGTGTGTGCAAATGAAGGTGCATGTGTGTGGGCACGGGCGACATCAGAGATGGGGAGACCAAGACCTTCTCTGGACCAGTGGAGCAGCAGCGTCTTCCCGCAGTGTCGGGGGGATCTCGTGCCTCCTGTCAGCAGCCTGTGGCTGAAGAAAGACCGCAGCACAACCCCAACTTAAATCACCCTGTTAAGACCAGAGCATTCTTGAACAGACAGACTCTGAGTCCTCGATCTATCTGGATCACGTTGCCACACGCGCGTGCACACGTGCTCATATCCCAGGCCCCGAAACAGTCGATCCTTTCAACAAATGACTGACACTGTAAATATGGAAACAGAACTCAATGGTATTAGGGTATGAACACAGATAAAACAGTTTACCTTCCTCTGTTCCAAGGACCTGTGTTAAATGAAAAAAAAAAAGGTTGAATGACTCTTGGTGATAGAGAACTTCATAGTATGTTTTTAGAGCATTTGGTTAGTACAACTGGCAAAATTTTTGTTAGTATTGAGATGTTAAAAATCTACGAATAATTCTCCAAAAGACAAATCTAAAATCCGTCATATTGCCCTGGCTTGTTTGGCTCAGCAGTTAGCGCTTCGACCCGTGGACCAGAGCGTTCTGGGTTCGGTTCCTGCTAAGGGCACGTACCTGGTGCAGTTTGTTCCCTGCCCGGTCGGGGTCGTGTGGGAGGCAGCCAGTTGGTGTGTCTCTCTCACATCAATGTTTCTCTCTCTCTCTCTCCCCCCTCTCTCCCTCCTGCTCTACCTGAAGATAAATGCAAAAATGTCCTCGGGGGAGGATAAAAAAAGTCCGTCATGTTCTCTGTGTGAGGTGACAGGCGAGTGTCCAGTCTGCCAGCGGGACTGGTCGCCGCTCTGACTCTGCAAAGCAGTGCATCCATAGCTAGCAAGAGTCTTAGAAAGACTAGATTATTTTTAAAAACAAATTTTTTAAATTAATTTTTTAGAGAGAGAGGAAGGGAGAGAAAGAGAGAGAGAAACACTGATGTGAGAGAGAAACATGGACTGGCTGCCTCCTGCACACCCCCACTGGGGATCGAGCCCGAAACCCAGGCATGTGCCCTGACCGGAATCGAACCGGGACCTCTCAGTCCGTGGGAGGACACTCAATCCACTGAGCCACGCTGGCCTCTATTATTATGGATCTCAGATATTACTGGGTAAGACTATTACTCTTATCCCAGTAATTCCATTGATGAGACTCTTTTTCTAAGAAAACAACCTAAAATCTGGACCAAGTTCCAGGTACGAAGCTGTTCAGCCTGTCTTCAGTTAAATCAGCAAAGCCCTGGAGACAGTCTCTGTGTGCACCTGGGCGGAGCCGGTAAGCACACTTTGGTGCTGCCTTCACTTATGGGGAAGTTATAAATAATGTTGTCAATACTATGCAGAGTAAGGTATAAGCTCATTCTCTAAGCATGCCTCATGTTCCATAAAACATCCAGAATAAAAACCAGACTCATGGCATGTTTACATGTAGGGGTGTGCGTGTGCAAAGAGATCTGAAGAGATCTGACAAGAATATTAATAGAGGTTTTGTTTAAGTGATGAGGCTATGGTTACTTCATCTTCAAAAAAATGAGCATGAAAATATTCACATTATTCTTTTCAAATGTAGCCATTCATCTTCCCAAACATTTCCTCTCTCTTTCTTTCCTTAATAGTGGTAGAAGTCTTGATCGTCCTTCATTATAAAAGTCTGTGTGCTCCTTGGACTTGCATCCTTGGGTCCTATTCTACTCTTGAAGAAGCGGATGCTTTGCAAGAGGTACAATGTTTACTGAAGTGTTCACTTACTGCACATGGAAAAGTCCATTTCATACAGCTGGGAGGAGCTCAGGCCTCTTTTTCAAAGAGCTTCTTAACTGCGGGGACAAAGAGGTCCTGGGATGGCTTAGCGGGGTCCATGAACCTTCTAAAATGGAAAGCTAAATTTTTTCCATAAACATGTGCATAGTTTTTGGGGGGCGGGGTGGGAGGTTAGGAAGGTTTGTTATGCCTTTCATCAACTTCTCAAAAGGGTCTGAGGTCCGTGAGAAGCTGCAGCCACGAATCTGCAGATGAGGTCCAAAGAGGTGGCACCGTTTTTCCAGATTCCCAGTCCCCTTGTGGCTGAGCTGGCCCTGGAGCCCACTCTCCAGGTTCCCTTTTGCTTCACAGACGAGAAACCTTGAGCAACAAAGAGCTTGGAGGGTCTCTAAGTCCTGTCTGAAGCTGGCCAACAGACAAGCTCTTTCGTCTCAAGGACTGGGTAGCCTGGAAAGGGGACGTGCATTTCGCCACGGACAGCACGCGAGGGAGATCTACAGGCTAAGGAAAAGGGGCCCTGGGTCCACTCCGATGAGTGCTGAGTCTCCCCACCGCGTCTTCCCGGGACTCGGAACCTGGCTGTTCCAAGCGCTCAGTCCACGCAGCTGCGGTTCTCGGGCACCGTGGAAGGGCGGGAGCTGGGTGCCGCTAAGAAGCCACCGTCTAGGGGAACAGATGTTCCAGCGAACTGAGACCCAGTCGACTTCTAGCTTCGGGCTCCGAATTTAAAAATAATGAGATTAGGAGAGTGGAGTGAAACGTCTCCAGATTCTCTAACGTTCTTTGTTGTTTTAAGAAAATAAACACATTCAAGCAAAACAGGAATGCTTTCTGTACGTCCTTCCCTCCTCCTTTCCTCCCTTCCTCTCTTTTATTTTTTCATTTCAGCCCAGAGGTTCCTCTGTATTTCCTAAAGCAGCGTCCCAGGCTGGGGGTGCAGCTGAAGTTGGGGCTCCCGCGGGCTTCTGCCAGCTGGGGAGCTCTGGCTAGTCTCCCCACCTCTCCGAGGCCGCTGCTTCCCTTCGGCTTTCGTGACAACCGAATGAGACCCCGAGCCTCTACTTTGTTCGAAAACTATAAAGTGCTATGTGAATTTGAGTTGGGCAGGTAGCCTGTCGCTCTGGTTCCTAAGATTGGTCTCACACACACACACAAGCATGACATTTGTCCTATGCGGTAAGCGTTGGTAATGAAGAAATGGCCTCGATGCCGGCCCCAGACGAGCAAGGGGGACTAGCCTGGCAAAGGACGAGGAGGAAGTCTGTGTTTCCACCGTCCACGTTCTTCAGATGATGTCAGCGTCTAGCAGAATGTCCACCAAAGCTGCAAGGAGAACGAACGGGCCTGCCTGACCCTGCTCTTCAAGGCTGACTTCCTCATGTCCTCGTTTACTCGTGGCTACAGTCTGTTGTCCTTTCAGACTGACCAGTGAGCTGTGGACCGCAAGTCACCGTGAGTGGCAGCCCTCTGCTTCTTGGGACACACGCATCTGACTCGTAGGAAGAAAGGGGTGGGTCCCTCTGGGTGTGTGGGTACCACCCCCAACTTCCTCCGTCCTGGTGGCCCCTGGAAGTTCAGCTCCCAGAAGAGGGTGAGCGGTGGAGTCCTGCAGGAGCCTCTCCTTCAGCGGGTCTGTGCTGTCCCAGACACGGCCGTCTTACGGATTGGAGGCAATAAATGTCTTGTTGGAGTCATAGGTTGGAAATGTGACTTTTGATGTTAACATTGTCATAATGCCAATAAAGAAAGAAGAAAGGGAGGGAGGAAGGAAGGAAGGAGGAAAGGAAGGAAGGAAGGAAGGAAGGAAGGAAGGAAGGAAGGAAGGAAGGAAGGAAAGAAGGAAGGAAGGGAGGGAGGGAGGGAGGGAGGGAGGAAGGAAGGAAGGAAGGAAGGAAGGAAGGAAGGAAGGAAGGAGTAAGTGGGGAGGCTGGTCACCCTTTGCAGTCTAGATGTCAGAGCACTGGTCTGCAGTAAGACAAGAACCAAGTCCCTTAGGAGGCCAGTGGGAGGAAGGGAGGACACCCACGTTGTTGGGCAGAGACTTTCCACCAGTCACGGCGGACTGACCACCATCTTAAGGAACTTCCTCTTTGGGGGCTGAAGGAAGCAGCTATCCCAGGGGGTCAGGGATATCTCCATCTTACCTGCCTTGCCTCAGTTTACTGAGCCTCCAGGGCTCACCTGGTCACTGACGGCTCACTCTGACGGACTTTGACTTTGTCACAACTTTGCAAAGTTGAGCACACAGCAGAAAACAGACCCCGGGTGGGGGTGGGGGTGGATTTGCCAAAGTTCCTGGAAGTCGTGTGCTGCAGGGCGGGCTCCAGACCCAGCTCTGTGTCACTCTGTCCTGTCTCTCTCCTACTCTGCAGGCCTGTCTTTCTTGCGAGGGACACATGGCAGGGTCGAGACAATTGCCAGCATTTTATTTCTGGAACGCTGGGGCCTGAAGCCCCGGGGGAGGCTGGAAGCCTTCCCTGGGAACCAGGCATGTCCCTGTCTCGGCTCCGTTAACGCCGAACATGGTGGCAGCCAGGGTCTGGTTTAGAATCCGGATCTTGTTTTGCTTTCGCCTTCCCACCTTTAAGGTCGGGCTGAGTACATACTGAGCATGGCTGTTATGACGATTAAGGGTCACAGATTTAGAGAGAGCAGTACCCTGTCCCCTGGGCACCGCGAAGGCACACGCATCCCCTTCTCTGTTTCCTAGGACAGTCACACTTACCTCGCTGAGGTTCTTTAAGTTGATCTGTCTGCAGGGAAAAGAAACAGTGTTACATACAGTGCAGCTCGTAGTGGCCGACACACCATTCTGAGCCCTTAGGAGCCTTTGAGGCCGTGTTTGCTGCCAGGCCAGCAGCCCGCCGGCCCGTGTGGTGTCTGTCGCCTCTGAAGCCGCTGCCAGCGACTCTCCCCTCGGTTCCTAACAGAAGACGACGTGACGAGCCCACGGAACGGTGGTGTCGAAAAGGACACGGATGAACTCACCCCTTGGTTTAGAAGAACTTAAACAACATCATCGCTCCTCCTCACACTTTCAGGCTCTGCGTGCTTTGCTCCGAGGAAGTGGACAGGGTTTTGAACGTGAGATATCAGGTACGCAGGGTCCCAGGAAGGCGTGAGAGAGAGGAGTGGGGACTGGGACGCAGAAAGCCCCGAACCGAATGTTGGGGACGGATGCAGCCCGAGGCCTGCCCGTGCGGACGTTGGACGGGTCTCAGAAGAACCCCGAAGCCTTTCGTTTACGCTGACACTCAGTCAGTGAAGGTCTCTGGCCCTCACTGTTCTCCTCTGCAAAATGGCTACAAGCGTGTTCGCCTTCAGAGGGTTACCGTGGGCACTGGTAGAGGGGGACGGACATCCTGGGCCTTCAGTGGGCTCTGTGTTAGAACGTGCTCCGGTCAGGGAAGGAGACTGCGGGGAATGGAGGCAGGTACGTTCCGTCTAAAGCAGACGGGGGCTGGAGGGATACCAGGAGGTTGAAGTTACCACGTTTGCATGTATCGGATTAGATCCTCTCAGAAGCACCAGAGCTCAGGCGCTGTGTCCTGGTCTCGGATCTCTAAGACGGGCACCCGGACCGCGGTCCCCCTGGCTCATCCACAGCTCTGAGACCGAACACCAACCCCCTGTCTGTCCCTTTCGGTGAGAAGATAAGAGACAGGGTTAGGAGTAATAAAGCAGAACAAACACCCACAGTATCGATTGCTCTGTGGTTGGATTGAGGCTAATCTCCGCGTGTTTACGTTTGAGTGGCGTTTTCAGAATCCTGACCAATTGGGTGTGGCTTCTGTGGACGGTGTGTCATTGATTTTAGCCTTGTGACTAAGTTTCAAGAGTCAACCTGTGTTCCATTCCTTTTGTGATGCGTTTGAACAGTTTATGAGAACTCAAATGTCTACATGTATACATTTTGTTAGATTTACAAAAATTAATTGTTAAAAATTTTGCTTGCTAGCATGAGACGTACTTAACGCTCAAGTAAGTGAAATGGATCAAGGTATGTTTCAAATGTTTAAGGAGAGTTCACTCTTTTTATTTGTAAACAAGTCTTATCATCTGACATTCTTCAATGTCTCCAAGGTGACAAGCAGAGTGATTGTCTTTCTGTTTAGGTAAAACCACTCTGTTTATAAACAGGTGGAATTTGAGCTTCAGGAAAGCGAAGCTTTGGAACTGGTAACTTGGTAAACATTGGATTTTTAAGTGACAACCCAATTAATGGTGAAAATCCCTCTGTACACAACAACCATCATTGAACACTGAAATGCACGGTGACAAGACCCCACTACTGCTTCCGTCACCTGTAAAATGAAGGCACCTGGCTTTGGGGGCGGGGGGGATTCTCCTAAAGGAGATTTATAACAACAGAGGGACCTCACCAAAGCCACAAAAGGGAAGAGCAAGGTGGGCACCCTGGTCTCTTCCCACAGACGGCCTTCCTCTCGGAGAGCGTCCGGTGACTCAAGCTTGCCCACGCTTTGTGGCGGGAGACGGCTCACAGAAGGTGGTCACTGAGGACACAGGATGAGCTGTCTCCTTTCCTGCGCGCGGCAGGTGCTCCGTGTGCGTTGGAGGATAACACCCTTTCCTGCGAAAATAGCCCTTCTTCAACCTCCCTTAGTTTTCGGTTCCGTTTTGAATGAATTGGGTCTGAATCCTCGCCCTGTCGCCCATGCGCTCCGTCCCTGGACGAGTGAAATGCCCCCTCTGATGCTGACTTTTCCCACCCACAAAGTGGGAAATCCAAACGGCAACCAAGAGGGCCAGAGAAGGTTCTCATGAAATAACAGGTAGAAGCTCTTGGCCTAAAACAACACCATATCTCCGCAGAATATTTCCACCACTTTCTTTTCTTTTTTTTTCTTTCGATATTTTGTTCAGATAGAGTGGGAGGGAGAGAGAGAGAGAGAGAAACATCGACGTGAAAGCGACACATCGAGTGGCTGCCACCCGCATGACCCAACCAGGGCCGGGGACAAACTGCAACCAAGGTATGTGCCCTTAGCGGGAACCGAACCCGGGTCTCTCCGGACCGCAGGCCGATGCTCTAACCGCTGAGCCAAACCGGCCAGGGCTCCACCACTTTCTTTTCAATGAGACATTTTACTCTGAGATAAGTGGGGTCTCAGGCAGCTGCAAGAATGACAGCCCAGTGGGACCCCCCGTGCCCTTCGCCCGATTTCCCGACGGCCACATCCTGCAAAGCTACGTAATAGCGAAGTTCATGCACTAAACAACACTGTCCAGTCGTAAACAAGAACTTCTGTGTCTTCTTCACAATCCGTACACTCTCTCTTTTAAAGGCCTGTGGTTTCCTGGTTGGTATATTCTTTTTTCACTTCTCAGATCATCAAAATATACGCTTTTTTTTTTTTTTTTTTTTTTGCCACGGAAGTTGCTTGAAGTGGTGATGGGTGTCTTTTTTTTTTTTTTTTTATCCTCACCTGAGGACATTTTTGCATTTATCTTCAGATAGAATGGGAGGGAGAAAGGGAGGAAGAGAGAGAAACATTGATGTGAGAGAGACACATCGAGTGGCTGCCACCCACCCGACCCCAACCCAGGCCGGAGACAAACTGCAACCGAGTTACCTGCCCTTAGCGGGAACCGAACCCGGACTCTCAGGTCTGCAGGCTGATGCTCTAACCACTGAGAAAACCAGCCAGGGCAAAAGAACTTTCTATTTTTTAATCATCACCTGGGGTTATTTTTCTATTTATCTTCAGATAGAGTGGGAGGGAGGGGGAGAGAGAGAAACATCAGTGTGAGTGGGACACATTGACTGGTTGCCTCCTGCAAGACCTCGACCAGGGCCGGGGATGAACCACAACCGCGGTACATGCCCTTGACCGGAATCGAACCTATAACCCTTTGGTCTGCTGGCCGAGGCTTTAACAGCTGAGCCAAACCGGCCAGGGCGGGTGTCTTGACCTGATGGATGCCAGCATTGCTGGTTGAAAAGAGACAACCTTGGTTGAGCAAGTGGGCGTTTTGTTTGTTAAAATCAGGCCCCTGATTTAAATTACATTACCGCTGCAGCCGCCACCGTGGGCCACTGAGCTACTGAAGCAGAAAGGAGGAACCGTGGCTCGGTGACCTCTCTGCATTTTTGTGTCTTCATCAGTGACCTGGGGACTGTCATGCTGCTTCCCGCAGTGTCCCCGTGGGGCGGAGTCAATGCACCTGAAGGCCCCAAACCTGTCCCGTTACTCTGCGATCACCCAGGATGATTCTACTTGGTGCCTGTGCCGTGGTGTTGAAGTCACGATGCACACACAGTTAGACAGTCATCCCCTTTGAAATCTCTGATTATGCTGAGGGGGGTCTCAGTGTGACTGTCCTGTGTCCCAGTCCTCCCGACACTTCTTTTTTTTTTTTGTTCAGGTACAGTGGGAGGAAGAGAGAGGAAGAGAGAGAGAAACATCGATGTGAAAAGGACACATCGAGTGGCCGCCACCCGCACGACCGACCAGGGCCGGGGACAAACTGCAACCAAGGTACGTGCCCTTAGCGGGAACCGAACCCAGGTCTCTCGGGACCGCAGGCTGATACTCCAACTGCTGAGCCAAACCGGCCAGGGCCCCCTGACACTTCTTCCCCCACCCCAGGTACAAAGTGCTGGTGACCCCGTCTGTGCTGCGGTCACTTATGGCCACACATTTCCCTTTGACATCAACTTTCTTTAGTAAATAAATAGATAAAAATGAGGCCCTGGCTGGGTAGCTCAGTAGGTTGGAGCATCATCCCGACACTCCAAGGTTGCGGGTTCAATCCCGGGTCAGGGCTCAATGAATGCACAAATCAGTGGAACAACAAATCAGTGTTTCTCCTTCTCTCTAAAGTCAATAAATTCATAGAAATGAGCTGAGCAAACACCGTTGAGCGCGTGGCTACCGTAAAATCCTGATGGTCTGTAATGGTTGAGAACGTTTGACCAACCAGCCCCCACGCCAGGACTCTCTTCTCCTTGCAAGTTGTTAACAAATGATTCCAACGGCATCTTCCTTATCTGAAGGGCGATTCAGCGACGGTTCTGTGACGCCACAGCTTCGCTTTAAAGAGAGAAGGGCGGCCGGGTGGAGACAGATGGGCTGACGCACAATAGCGGGCCCACCTCCACCGTCCAGGGGAGCAGAGCCCCTGGGAGGCCGCAGCTGCCCGGCCCTCCCAGGACTCCGCTGCTGGTCACGTGTAAATCACAGCCTCCTGGAGCGGGGACGGGCTGTTCCTCCTGCTTTGGTCGAAGCAGCTCAGAGCTCTGGTGTCCCTTCTGTGTTCAGAAGAAGGGAACCCAGCCGCCTCCTGCTGTGGCCGAGTCCATGCGACATGACATCAGTAGTGGCCACCTGACGACCAGCAGGCCCAACTCAACATGAATTTGAAAGCCATCTTCCCAAAGCAAAACTCGTGCTTATCTGCGGTGCCATTCCCGGGTCTTGCCCAGGGGTCCACGTGGCTTCACCCCTCAGTCATCACAGACCAGCGTGGGGGCTTTGACCAAGTCACCTGGCTCCTCTGAATCTTAGTGACCCTGTGCCCCGTGGACAGGGAAGCGATACTTTCCCAGGCACGTCCTGTGCGCCATCCACTGGCTGGGCACTTTGCCCTCCTGGCCTTAGAAAGCCGTGCTGTATTGGTGGCGGGAGCGATGCAGTGACATGAAGCCTCGTGGCCTCCCGAGGCTTTGGTGGTGAAGAGACCCAGCCCAGCTGCCATCACGTTTAAAGACAATTAAACAAATGTGAGCTACAGTGGCAGAAACACCAGAGATGCCACATGCAAACTCCCATGGATTCCAACGCCACCAGATGGCTGCACCGCAGACGGGGGGCCTGAATGCAGGGCGCTCGCGCGGGGCTCAGGGGAGCATCGGAGTTCGGGGAGCACGTGTCAGGCACTGGAAGCCCGGGCGCAGACAGGTCGGCGCAGGGACCCTCAGGGTTTAGTGGCCAGAGTCCCGGAAGCTGGCTGCCCACCAGATTCACCGAGGGGAGCTGGGAAGCTCGTGGCACTGGGGTCTCCCTCGTCAGAGCAGCGGACATGGACACCGGGCAGCGCCGCGAGGAAAGGTTTCCTGATTTCCCCGGAAAGCCAGGGAGAGAAACGGCGCATCCGAACATCCAGGCTCCATTTCCAGGGGGCAGGGGCTGGGGGCCTAGTTCTGCGGCGGACGGGGGGACACGGGCTGCGTGTGCTTTTCCTTCTTCCCTGTGAGGCCACGGACGGTGTCCTGGGCGCTTCAGGAGAACCGTGTCTCCACAGCACACTGGCCCGTGGGCGGTACCTCCTCCTCCGCAGAGGAGAGAGCCGAGCTCAGAGCCGGGAGCGCTGTCTGCAGTCATCCGGCCGGAGGGGCTGCGCCGGCCCCGGGCCTGGGTCTGCTGGTCTCCGTGTCCCGTCCTTTCCCGCATGGAAACCCGGGAAGACGAGAACACCCTCACTTCTCCGCACGAGCAAGCGTGTCACCCGGGGCGGGCTGTCCGTCCCCGCCTCTCGCTCCTCACTTCACGGAGCTTCTCCAGGCCCACCGTTGGCTGGGCGTTTGCAGGGATGTCAGACTTTACGTGTCTAACCGATGACAGGCGTCGTGGCCGCCGCCGGGTCTGTGTCTGTAAGAAGGGAAATTGGAGCCACGCGAGAGCCCCGGTCTGCGGACCCCTGGGGAGCTGCCGGAGGAACCGCACGCTCCTCGGACAGCGGCTGTGCCGGGCCCGCGCACGCTGCAGTGACACGGCCCCTCCTTCCGGCTGAAAGACACAGACTTGTACCCTAAGACATTCTAGGAGCTGGCAAAGGCACCGGGGAAAGGGCTCAAGGTCACGGTGGTGCAAGAAACGTTGGCTACACATAGACACGGGGCAGCACTGTGGGGAGCCGGCCAGGAGACCCCGAACTCGCCCTGAGCCCAGGAGACAGCTGGTTTTCTCTCTACCGCCCAGAAAAGCCCCGGGAAGGTCAGTTGCCGGCCCAAAGGCAGAGATCCTCAGCCTTGGCACAGCGGCCTCATCAGCCTCGTTCGTTGCTGTGGGCCGTCCTGGGCGCTGTAGGACGTCTAGCAGCACCCCTGCCTCTCTGCCCTCTGGATGCCAGGGGCGTCCCTGCATTCCGAGGTGTCACAACCAGAATGTCTCCAGGCACTGCTAACTCCCTCGGAGCAGGGTCACCCCCAGCTGAAGTCCCCTGCCCCAAGCCCGCCAGCTCAGGGGAGCCTCGCCTTCAACGTGGGCAGTGTGAATCCGACTTGAGAAGTCTCGTCCCTTCCCCGTGCGCTGCGGATGGAGAGGGGGACCGAGGAGGCAGGACATGGTGTGGGGGAGGGCCTGTGGCCTGGAAGGTGGATGTTTGTGTGAGGCTGTGATGGACGAGGAGATGCAGAGACATTCACCACATGGTGAAGAGGGGGTGGGAAATGACATTTTAGGCTCTTTAACTACCTCCGTTAGTGACAACTGGGATTTCCATGGCAGCTCAAAGCACGCCTGATGTTTTGAATGTCTGTATCCGTGAGACATGCTCACTCGTAAATAATGCCCGGCGCCCCCAGCTGTGGGTTCGAGCCCGCAGTGGGACAGCGTGGCTTGTTCTGGGCAGGGACAGAGGGAAACACGAAGCTCTGCTCCGACTTCTGAAACAAGGTAATTCTGGACATTCAGACTCGGGGGGAAAACACCCCACCTGAGTTTGTTCAGTTGGTGGTTGGAGCTGGCTGCCCAGTGCCGCGCACATTTGGGGTGAGGGGTGTCGTGAGCACCCGACACAGAAGGTTGTTTTGTAGTCGCCACCGGTCACAAAGGCAGGGGTGTTTCTGACCGAGGCGCGCACGTGTGGTTATATTCATATGAAGTACGAAAGCATTTCAGGGCTGATGGGAAGCTGGGGACTGGTCCCTCAGACAGCCTGACCACCTTGGGATTTTCACAGAACAGCCCTGGTTTCATGCTGGCCTTGAACGTTTTCTTGAATAACAAACCCAGGTCTCACATGGGCGGTGCTTTCAAGAGCTCATTTCATTACAAATAAGCCGTGTTTTCGGTTAAAGAATGAAAGTACCAGTTTCTGAGACTATCTCCCCTCAAAGTACAATCGGCTCCTCCCCATCCCATCAGGGAGCCTGTCCTGAGAGGTGACTGCTGGGTTGTCACCCCCAGCCCCCTGGCCACGTCCCCAGCGGCCGCCAGGACCAGCCTCTCACCTGGGGCCCCTCTGGGCTTCGGGAAGGGTGGGCCTCTGCGGGACGGGGCGCGAGCTGCTCTCCGGCTCGGGGGGCAAGGGCTGGTACTTCTTCGGAACAGGGACAACAGGTGGCCTGCGTGAAGAGTCACAGGGGAGACTGAGGAGCTTTGCCGCACAGGGGGCCCCAGTGTTCCCAGCTTTGGGTGGGAAACGCCCGTTTCTGGGTGCCGACACCTTCCAGCTCCGCCGGCCCAGTCCGGGGGGTTCGGTCGCGGACAGGGGACAGCGGACAGCGTCCTCCTTAGGAGCACCCGCCCCTGCGGCGCTCTTTGCGTTGCTTCTGTTTTCTGATGTGATTTCCTACAGAGTCTTTGGTTCTTCAATATGCCACCTGTTTGAGTGTCAGGAGGCCTGGGGACAAAGTAATGGCTTTCCATTTACCTCGGACCGGAAGGCCTTGAGCTTCTTAAACCCCCCAAAGAATCAGGGACATGTCTCTCGATGGGCACCCACTCACTTGGGAAGTGTGCGGGGCACCATTGGGAGCCGCAGAAAACGCAGAGGAAAGAGACGCGGTCACTGGTTCACGCACCCCTCCAGGAGAGCAGAGAGGAGTGGGGACGCCCCCGTGAGGGTGACGACGGAAGTATTCGCAGTGACCGCGGACAACGAGGGTGCCCTCATCACCCCATAAGAGCCCAGGAAATCAAGCCTGCTCCTCTGCCCTCCGCGGCTATGTACAGACACAGTACTACTTGTGCTTCTGTATGGACCGGTAAATGTATGCGGGTATGCTAGGAGGCCCTCGGAGGGGCCCCCGGCCGGTCCTCTCTGCAGACTTCTGGGCTCGGAGAAGGGGGGAAAGAGGGAGGAGCAGGGAAGCAGTGGTGAGTGGGGCACACTGACTGGCCCTCCGAGAGGATGGACGAAGGCTGGCGGAACCTTGTTCTCTGGCTGACTCATTAATTTTCAATGTCCCATTTTGGTGTTTCTCTTTTTTAAATTTTGGAGCTTTCCAAATTCTGGAACTTAGTGGTCTAGGTATATAGCAGAACCAAAGACCGAGTGTCTTACCGAGGAGGTGGTAATGGCATCTGCAAAAAGAAAGAGAGTCAGGAATTAAATTTACTGTTGTATGAGCCGAGCTAATGGTTAAGATGTACAAACAGAAATGATAGGTCCCAACTGAACTTCCAGGATGTAGTTTTCAAGTGCTATCGGAGCGTTCACAGTGTCCACATTGCTAGGCCGCTAGGACCCGGGGTGTGTGTGTGTGTGTGTGTGTGTGTGTGTGTGTGACAGGTGCGTTTTCAGGGCTGTTCTTACCTTGTTTCCCTTGGCGAGGTTGGCTCCTAGAACACAAGAAGGGACAGCAGTGAATTCACAGGCGATGTCGTCAAACTATTTTTACACATATTTAAACAAAATCGTTCCCATCTGTTTCCTTTTTAATATGATTTTATTGATTTTTTTTAGAGAGAAGAAGGGAGAGAGGTAGCAACATCCATCTGAGAGAGAAACATCGATTGGTCGCCTCCTGCACGCCCCCTACTGGGGATCGAGCCCGCAACCCGGGCATGTGCCCTGACTATGAATCGAACCAGGACCTCTCAGTCCATGGGACGATGCTCAATCCACTGAGACACACCAGTGGGGCTGAAATCATTCCCATTTGAATAATCTTGATGATAATGTCAAAGAACATTTAAAAAAATTGAATCCTCACCCCAGGATATGTTTATTGATTTTAGAGGAGGGGACGGGAGAGAGAGAGGGAGAAACATCAGATGGGTTGCCTCCCATAGGTGCCCCGACTGGGGTTCAAACCCACAACCTAGATATGTGCCCTGACTGGGAATTGAACCCATAACCTTTGGGTGTATGGGAAAACGCTCCAACCAACTGAGCAACACTGGCCAGGGCAACATTTATCGATATCTAATTAGGTACCCAGCACCAGGCTAACCACTTTAGTTATGGAATTTCATTCCTTTGTGCTGGTAATGCAGAAACCCAGGCACGGTGAGGTTAGGTTGTTGCTTCCGGCCACCCTGAAGTTAGTAAGTGCTAGAACAAGATATCAGGTCCTGCTTAAGCACTAATTCTTTTTTAAAATATGTTTCTATTAACTTTTCTTATAAAGAAAGAAAGGGAGGGGGAGACAGAGAGAGAGAGAAACATTGATTGGCTGCCTCCTGCATGCCCCCTCCCTCCAACTGGGGGTCGAACCCGAAACCCAGGCATGTGCCCTGACCGGGAATTGAACTGGGAACTTTTGGGGTGAGGGGCAATGCTCAACCACTGAGCCACACCAGCCAGGGCTTTAACCACTAATTCTTTTTTTTTTTATCCTCACCCGAGGATATTTTTCCATTTTTTGTACAGATAGAGTGGGAGGGAGAGAGAGGAAGGAGAGAGAGAGAGAAACATCGACGTGAAGAGACACATCGAGTGGCTGCCACCCGCACGACCAACCATGGCCGGGGACAAACTGCAACCGAAGTACATGCCCTTAGCGGGAATCGAACCCGGGTCTCTCCAGACCGCAGGCCGACGCTCTAACCGCTGAGCCAAACTGGCCAGGGCTAACCACTAATTCTTGATTAGAATTAATATTCTTTTATGTGTAGTAATCTCATTAATTCAAGTTCCTTATTTGTGAGACAAAGTTGGACTAAATCATGTTTTTTAACTACACTCTGAAGAATCCCCTGGGCTCCCCTTTGAAATTCCTAAGAAGCCTGGGGGTTGGGGGCTGTTCTGGCTCGTACCCATTATTGGGGCGGGGTGTATACGTATCTCCACTTCATCTACTTCCCAGTGAATCTCCTCTTAAGATTTATTTTGGGTAGAGATCCAGCTGCCAAAAAGAGCACAATCAACCCACTTCAACGCAACCCAACCCAACGCAACCCAACCCAACCCACTTCAACCCAACCCACTTCAACCCAACCCAACCCAACCCAACCCAACCCAACCAAACACATACTGGTCTGGCTGATTTCAGGGTCTCCCAGGTCTAAAGCAACTACCCCATGGGACAGAATTACCATTCTCCCTATTTTGTTTTTGTTTTGGAAACACGTTTTACATAGCTAAGGTAGACCTCCCTGCACGAGTTCCAATGCTGATGGCAGACGGGAATCGCAGATGTCGTAAAAACACAAAATGTGACCCAGGACGTATTTCACCAGCAGCAGCAATATAGTTAATGTTGTATCTTTGGCTATTTAAGTAATATTAACCAAACGCTGAGACTGATGCTTTCTTAAGGCACACAATTAGAACACATGGAATGAACTTGCTCTCATTTCATTGGGTATTGGCTTCACCTTCTGAGCTCTCTGGGGAGCTATTTGGCTGCGGGTGCCGATGACCTTTCCTGTGAAGCCTGGCTTTCCAAGAGGTCTCTTTCCATAGCTACCACTCTGTCTATGGGGGATCAATTCAACTCACTGGAAAAAATTCAATACAGAGACTGAGTGTCTGCAAGTCAACAGGAACACCCCTTTTATTGTTTCAGAGACATCTATTGCTTTAGTGACTGGGAATCGAGAAAAGGACATCTGTTTTCCTTTTATTCACTGGCTATTGAGCACATAGCATGGGTCAAGAATGGATTCATTTTTAATATACGTACCGATGCGGTTGTTGGGGAATGTTATACCAAAAAATAAAATAAAAAGAAAAGAAAGCTGCTAATCCCACATAACTTACATTTCAGTGGCAGGAGACAGAAAACAAACAAAAGTATATGATGACAGGTGATGACAAGTGCAATAAAAAAAACGAAGCAGAGTGAGGGACAGCAGGGCATGGAGGGACAGGCGGGGGGTGGGGTTGCTATGTTTTAGGTAGACTCCTGGAGGCCTCCTGGACGGGGGATGAGGATGGAGGCCCGAGGATGGTGAGAGAACACACAGTGTGACTATTTGGGCAAGAATATTCCAGACAGAGGGAACAGCCAGTGCAAAGGCCCTGGGGTGAGCTGAGATGGGGGTTGGTGGTGGAGGTGGGGGGTGCCCAGGTCACAGGGTCTCGGGGGCTATAGTAAGACGGCCTCAGCCACAGTGCACCTTATTGATACACAGTTCTGTGTCTTCATTGTAATGTAGAGTTTTCTCTGGCTTCATTCAGTATTCCCCTCACTTAAAAAAAATCTGTGTACCATATCATTAGCAACAGTAACAAAAATCCCTGAGGGTTTCAGCTCTAAGTAATTTGTGCTGTTTTATTTCTCCTATTCACTCCTTAGATCAGCGATTTTCAACCATTTTCCTCTATGGCACACATAAACTAATTACTAAAATTCTGTGGCACAGCAAAAAATGCATTTTTTGCCAATCCGACAAGAAACAATAGGTACGGTTTTGATTCATTTACACTGGACGGCTATTGTGTTGGCCGTTGTCATTTTTTATTTGATATCTAAAGGAAAAGAGGTCAGTGCCCCTGACTAGTCAGGTATTGCAAATTAAAAAAATTCTTGCAGCACAGTGGTTGAAAATTGCTGGTTTGGATAACTGAAATCCAACAAACTAAGAGTCAGAGATGAACTTCAGGGACTCCCCAAGTAAGAAGCCAGGACCCCACAGGAAGCACTGTGTCAATTGTTACACAGTTTTGAAGATAATCCGGATAAAATCCAACTAGTTTTTTCTTTCTTCTTTTTTTTTGAGGAGGCTTGCTTAATAAAGTAATAATGCTGTAGGTATTTGGGATAATGGAAGAGGAGGAGACGGGAGTTGACCTTCTGGAATTTGAATCTCGATTCTGCTACTCACTGTGTGCAGAGTCGTAGCAGGTGCTCCGACATACTCATGAAATAAACAAACGGACTGAGGAGCGGCTGGGTTTGCGCATCTGGGGGAAGGAGGATGGGCTGCTCACACTCCATGGGCATGCGTGTGTGGAGCCACTGACCTCACATACTTCGATCCCTGGCTTTTATTGCATGCCACCGTGCCAGGATTGTTGTGTAACGGGAAAGCAGAGCACATATGACAACTTGCCTATCTGATGAGGTATGCAAATATTCTCAGACTCTCTGGCAAGTTTCTTGTCTGTCACAGGAGAAGCCCACATACGTCTTCTTCCAGGTCTTCCCCATCTTGAGATGAACAAAGCAGCTTCACTGGGAATGGGCCGGCAGGCGCGCCATCTGGCGGCCACATGTGCAATCAGCACCATCCAGCCAGTGTCCTCGTTGGCTCTTCGGTCTCAGACAAGACAGGTTCATTTCAGCCAAGTTGGCTGTGGAATCTGTTGGTCCCAGTCTGGCCATGACCTCTATTACTTATTAGGGGTCAGTGAAGTTAAAGCAAAACCTCCCAGAGGAGAAGAAAGCATCGCGAGACGTTCCGTGGCGTGTCCCGAGCAGATTGAAACGATTTACAAGAGCCGGCTGTTATGTGTTCAGGGATTTTGCAATGCAGTCGTTAAACACAGCTGCTATTAAAAAAAATAAGTTATATATAAACGTACACTGGCATTCTAGCAAAAACAAAGGCAGCACATGCTCACAACTCAGGACTTCCTAAGCATCCCGCTACATTTTACTACTATCTTTGCTGTTGAAGTTATTTACCTCTGTTTTGAGGGAATACTATGAAATGGTCTCTCTTCCCAGCACCATGTGTAACAATCATGTTGGTAGCTTGAAATTTGCCATGGTGGGGTATTTATTTACCCCACGGAAACTGGAAAATGTTACATATCAGGATTTGACTTATTCTTTTGTTGCTTATCTGGACTTAAGAAAGTGGTGGAGAAAATGCTGAAAGCAAATTAATTTAAAGTGTGTTGCATCTATATCCATTGTGAAAAGAGGAAAATTGGGGACTGAGTATTTCTGTGACTCCAGGCACTGTTAATACTTGGTGTTGTCTGTGTTCTGGGTTTTGGCCGTTCTGACAGGTATGTAGTGGTACCTCCCTGTTTTACTTTGCATTTCCCTGATGACAGGTGATGCAGAGCATCTTTTCATATGCTTATTTGCCATTTGTGTCTCCTTTGGTAAGGTGTCTGTTGTGGTCTTTGACTCATTTAAAAAAAAATAAGATGTAGGTTTTCTTATTGTTGAGTTTTAAGAGTTCTTTGTACATTGTGGATAATAGTTCTTTATCCGATGTGTTTTCTGAGAGTATTTTTCTCCCAGTCTGAGGTTTGTCTTCTGATTCTCTTGGCATTGTCTTTCACAGAGCAGTTTTTATTTTAATAAAGTTCAGCGTATCAATGATTTCTTTCATGGATCGTGTCTTTGGTGTTATATCTAAGACGTTGTCACCATGCCCAAAGTCATCCAGGATTCCTCTTATATTATCTTCTAGGAGTTTTACAGTATTGGCTGTGT